AAGAGAGAATTTTGTCGCTTTCCTACAGACGACGTCAAACTGATGATGCACAAAATAGTTTTTGCACACCATCTGTCAAGTGTGAATAATAAATGCAAGAGTAAAGTAAGGAGATTGAGAAACACAAGTAATTTATAGTGGTTTGATCAACTCGATCTACGTCCACTCTTGAATAACTCTAATTGTCAGGTACTTTATTAACTCAAGAGAGTGGAGAGCAGAGAGTACAAACTTTGAGGGAGAAGAGAGAGTCGTGCTCAGGTTAAGTGTGATGCCCCCCAAGTGTTGGTGGAGCGTGCAATTTATAGTAGTCCCTTAACAGGTTGGGGCTATTTTTTAGTAACTAAGCAACCATTTCGGTGGAGCTCATGACTTCTTCTCAACGGGTGACGTGGTTGAGGAGCTCTCCATGAGATGCGGTCAAAGATAAGGTGAGGGTGGACCATTTTCTTCTGCGGTGCAAGTAAGGCCCCCATGCTCTCCCTCTTGATGACGTGGCTAAATAGAGTGTCTGACTGGTCTTGGTGGATTTTTTATGAGGTTGGGCTCCTCAATTGAGATTTGGACTTTCCACATAAATTGGGTTATTTGGGCTTAACCCATCAAATTTTATTAGCAAATTAATTTATTAACCTAAATAAAATTAATCATGAGTCCATTAATCAAAGGGAGAATTATAATTTATACTCTAAAAGATTTAAGAATTTTATTTTTAGCTCCTATAGGTTAAATTTTTTATATTATACCCTTATGTATAATAAATGTTACAATATAACCTCTCCATTAGATTTTGTTCATCATTCCATCATGAGAACCCGCTTTCTCCAATCCTTCTTTTTCCTTAATATTTTCTTGATATTGATTCTTTCGTTAGTAAAAATTTCGCCTATTTATAGAGGCCTTTAGTCTTCCCCTACCTCATTTCCCCCTCTATTTTTCTTTGAGACTTCCTATAGAAGCCATCCTATTTTCTTTAAAGGCTTATCTTAGAAGTAATCTTTCAAAGGCTTCTCCAAGAAGTCATCTTCTTTTATTTAAAGGCTTCCTCTAGAAGCTACCATTCCCCAACCCATTTCTCTCCCTTATGTTCCATTTGGTATAATGAAAAAAATAAAATTATGGAAAGTTAGAGGGATAAATAAAATATCATGTTTGGTAAGGAAGGAAAATAGGAAAGATGAAAAAGTGAATGAATTAACTTCCCTTCCAACTCACCAAAATCAATCCCTCCAAAATTAGAAAGAAAGTGGATGAAAAATTAATTATTTGTGTTGAGATGTATCTTATTTGCCTATATATTATGTATACATTAATTTCATAGAAAAATACAATGATAAAATATGTATATATATATTAAAAATTAAAATTAAAATTAATATATATATATATATATATATATATATATATATATATATATTTTTCATCTTAATTAGGGGTGAAAATTTTTGACTTAACACGATGACACAACTTGAACTCGACACGAATTTTATGACACAAACTTGAAAATGATCTGACACGCAAACAAGAAATATAAAAGGTTCATAATTTTATGACTCAACACGAATCTAACATGAAAGGACTCCATTGTCACCCCTAATATTAAACAAAAAAAAAATTACTCATTTTTATTTTCCATTCAACCAACCAAACATAAAAGAAGAAAAATATATCATTCATATTTTTCATCTTTGAAGGATAAAAAATGTACCACTTTTACTTTTCATCCTTCCTACCAAACAGAGCATTAATCTTCTCTTTCTCAAATCACAAAAAATACATGGAGACTAGGAGCTCGAAGAAGGTGGATACTGTTGGCGAGATGATGGAGAGCTCAAGAGAGTTGGCCCAAGGGTTGGGCGGCGCCGGTGGCCTGCTGGATGCCAGTGGCTTGCTGGGCAGCGCCGAGAATGTAGTGGGCAACTGTGTTGGCTTGTTTAACATAGTCAAGAGTTCAAAGAAACTTGGAGAGGACTTCCGTGGTGACAGGGGTGGCGCCCAAGGGGCTTGTGTCGAAGGCGGCGCCCATGGGGTTGTGTCTCTTGCTAGGACAGAGGCTCCGTCTAGTCATCCTGGTTCGGGTAGTACTTCGGTATCTATGTTGCATGACGTGAAATTGGCTAAGGGGCGACTTTGGGGGTTCGTAACCCGTGCGGAGGTTCAGGGGGTTGCCTCTCGAGGTCCAGAAGGGCATTGTCGACGCGACTATGGAGGGTTTTGCTTTGGTATGTCCCGCTCTCTTCTTTGGTTTTGTACCTGTCTTTCTTCCTTTATATTTTAGTTTTGAATGCTTGTAGGTGGCTGCTGCTTTGCCCTACTTGTTTACAAATACGCTGAAAATCAGGGAGGCAATCGATGGCCAAACAGCGAGAGGTGGGCATGCGAGGCTACTGAAGAGCAGTTGAGGCTCGAGCGGCAGATACGAGATGATGTCGTAAAATAGTTGAGGCTAGCATGCAAAAGAGCTGCTATTTTTGAGACCGAGCTTCTGGTGTCCCACAAGAGGGACGCCTAGCTGGAGGCTGACCTTTGAGCAGCTCTTGAGAAAGCTACTAGCGCAGAGACTTACTCCATAGAAATAAAAAAGAAGAGGAATGCTGTTAAGAAGGCCAAGACAAACGCCTTTATTGACAACTATGATGAGCTCAAGAGAAAGATCTCAGCAGCATTCCCTGCTTATGACTTTTTTGGCTTTCTAACTTATGAGGCTCTCGAGACTAATGAGGAGGACGTGAGCGACTATGAGAGCGGACATTAATAGTAAAACTCATTGACAATATGTAACGGTTGTTGGGAATATAACGTGCAAAGATTGAGTATTTTTATGTTAAGCTGGTTCAAGAATGTGTACATGGTGAACGTGGTAGTGTTTACATGCATTGCATTTATTGTTTTACCATTAGTTCTGGTTAAATTCAAGTATTCTAAAAAAGAAAAAATGATCTATTTTTAACCAGAGTCAAATCTTTGCCCAACTGAGTTCATGGTTAGGTTGAGATTTGGATCACTTGCTCGAATTGCACACCCAGTTGTTGACGTCTTTATTTGGGACTAATAAAAAAATTGTAACTACCTTTTTTAATGCATAATCATTTTTTATTTATCCATGCAATGAAACTTGTAAATGCACTGTCATAACATGTGTGTGAAGGCACGATAAAATATAAAATTTATGACCCAAAAAATAAATTCACTATATTAAATTTTTTCAACACGTGTATACTATTGTATATGAATAATGTTTGAAATTAAAATTATATTAACTATAAATTAATTAAATATTAAATGATTAAACATATGATAGAAATGATTGATGTGATATTTTTAGGGAGAAAATATATAAATGATTAAACATATGATAAAAATGAGTGATGCGACTTGACATTTGAGTCTGACAGATGGATGATGGGTGAGGTAAGTGATTGGTGATAGTTTTAAATGAGAAAATATGACCAGAATAAAATTCAAAATATGAACTATTTTATTATATACATATAAACTACCCACTAAACACAAATATTGATTAAATCTAAAAATTATTAATGAGAATAGAATTGAAGTCGTCATAGTTTATGATGCACCTTGGAGCTAACACCATGTCATTAGACTCGAGGGTATTGATCGAGATGAGTTACTCGAACTTTGTTTGGACACAATTCAGATAAAATTTGACTCGAGCTCGTTTATATATAAAATAGTTGAATTATTCGGACTCAACTTGAATTTTAAACGAGCTGAGTTTGAATAATTTTTTAGTCTCATTAAAATAAACAAGCTTGATTCGGGTTCAAGTTCGTAAAACTCGGTTCAATTAACACCCCTAATTAGATTATCAATATGAATTTTTGAATTAAATTTTTAATGATGAATTACTTCAGATATTTAAAGAGAAAAAAATGTTAATCAATCCCTTAACAATCCTTCAAGTTTAATTTCGTATTTACAAATTCTATTAACAAATTAATTTATTAACCTAAATAAAATTAATCGTGAGTCCATTAATCAAAGGGATAATTATAGTCCAAAAGATTTAAGAATTTTTATTTTTCGTTCCTATAGATTAAATTTTTTATATTATACCCTTAAGGCTCGTTTGATTGTCGTATTAAAAATGAATGGATTAGATAAAGTAATATAGTCTAATACAATACATATGAATTAAAGAAAATATTAAATATGGTATTAGAATAATACGTAATTTTATTTAGTATTTGACAATATACAATATATAAGCGTTGAATAGTAGTTATTTAATCTAATCAATTGTTTGGTTAGAAAATTATTTAAATGTATTAATGTTGAATTAATAAAAATACCATCAATCAGTGTTTGTTACATTGATGACAACTTAAATTTATCACTTGGGAGGTTATAATAGTAAATGTGTAGAATAATACATTTAAGTTGAATTATAATACCACCTCTTTTGGTTGGATTATAATACCACATCTTTTATGGTATTAAAAAACCTTCATAATATAGGTCTATCGTATAAAAAATATATGTAAATATACATTTTTAAAATTAATACGGTATTAAATTTGCTTATTAAATAAAATATTAGATTCGATTAAATAAAAAATAATACAATATAATATTTAATCCCCTCATAATACGTCTACTAAACAAGCCGCTAATGTATAATAAATGTTACAATATAACCTCTCCATTAGATTTTGTTCGTCATTCCATTAAAGTCAATAAAATGATTTTCAGTGAAAAGGGCAAGAAGTTGATTGAAGAATTATATTGTAATATATTAAAGTATAAAGTAAAAAAATTAATTTTTAAAAATATAACATAAATTATTAAATTTTGGAGGTATAAAGTGTGATTCTCCCATAATTCAACCTTTTAGGTCACGGGAATATCCTTGTCTAAGCGAGGGTGGTCTAGTTTTTATCAAAGGAAAGAAATAATTATACGTGTAAATTAGTTCGAACGTTTTTTACAGTTTAAGTTAAAAAAAAGAAGAAGAATAAAGTCGATTCGCTTTTCTTTAATATCCGAGTAGCCACTCACGAGATTCTCTGTCCTCTCCTCTCCCCTCCTCTCTCTCTCTCTCTCCTGATGTTTTCGAGTTTCGACTCCTAAAAGGTTTTCTTTTTCCTTCTCCCAAACGAACTCTGGTGAGAGAAGACTATTAAAGAAAGAGAAGCTGCTTCTTTTTCTTATTCGGCTTCTTCTCCGGAGACATATTGAAGAGTGCTTTCTTTGCCGGAGATCGTCATGGGAAGAGGAAAGTTCAAGGCCAAACCCACTGGTCGTCGCCAGTTCTCCACCCCTGAAGAGCTCAGTTATTACCCTTCTCTCTCTGTCTCTCTCTCTCTCTCTCTCTCTTCATGTATTTGTTTTTAGATCTGGATTATCTGGATCTTAGTTTTGATCGAAGAGGAATTGATTGGGTATTGGTTTATTATCTATGATTTAGATTGAAGTCGGGAAAATTGTTGAAGCGGATTCTGAATTTTAGGTTGCTTTAATTTATACTTATTGGGTTAATTTATTGTTGTTCAATTTACTGAATTCCCGGAGCTGGTTGGGGTTTTTCTTTGATTTGGGTCGAAATTTTGAATATACCAAAATTTTTATTTGTCGGGTCTCTCTGATTTTTTAGGTAATTTGTATTGGTATTCAAAATATATTGACGATAAATTATGTTGGATCATGGGCTTTCAGTAACTTCGATGATGAAGAAGAGTTTGACTCAATAATCGAGGATGGTTCAGTTTTAGTTAAGTTGTGTGATTAGTTTAGGAATCCCAAATATCTAGTGGACCGTATCACCTGATGTGTGAGATCAAAAGTGCGCCTCTTATTGTTGTAGAGGGAGATATTACATTAAGGCATCTGATTTGGGGAAGATAAAGGAGCAGAAGCATTAGTAGGCACTTGGTTGTTTTGTATGTTTAGTTCATGTTTTGAGTTCTGGGCTTCTTCTAGCCAAACAAAAATCAAGGCTGACTTATAAGTTATATACCAATGGAGTAGATTATCGTCATTCAGAAGTCATTGGAAAATTAAAAAGTTAAGGAATCTTATTCCAATCAGTTCAGTGTTTTTATGCAGTTCCTTGAATTGATAATTATTTTTGAAAGGTAATTACTTTTCTTTCTTTTTTTTTTTCTGGGATTTATTCTTGAATTGGGATACTTTGTCTGAAATTTTTCAAGAAAAGAGAACCATGAAAAACAAATTTAAAAACAGGAAATAAGAAAATCCGGAGCTGAATAAAGGAGAAATATAATACTATATGAGAGATGTTTGGTTTTGAACTTCAATTTGCTTCTGCTTTTGTTGGGTACTGTGTTGAGTTATTTAAATTCCAGAGACATTCACTTCAACTTTCGCTGATTATGTACTTGATGTCATCTTTATGGTTTTTGGTGTTTTCTCAAGTTTAATTTTTATTCCTTTATTTTGGTCTTCTCTTTCTTGTGGGTGGCAATCTTTACAGCCTAGGGTAAAGACTCTTGCCTACAATTGGGGTGGTGGCTGACGTTAACTATAGACTAACATCTATTTTCTATTGGTATATGCAGTTGCTGGTACCTCCTCGCGTCCTCGCACATTTAGACAGGTAATTGTATTTCCTTTGATGTTTTAAGAGTGGCTCAAAATACTGATGTATGTTGTTTCATGGTTTCCTTTTAATATATATGGAATTTTCATGTGGAACTTCTTGTCTTGATGGGCTTTACTACAAAAATGGTGAATTCATCACTAGAAAAATTCCCCAAAGAATTGTTTCAAGAAAAGCTGAGTTTTTTTGGATGAATAAAAAAGCTAAGTTGATGGTCTTAAGTTTCTGACATGGACATGGGTGCACTGGGTTTTGACGGGGTATGAGATGTGACAGTGATGCAAAACATAGAAATGGAATGTAACTCTATGTCGATTTAAATTGAATGTGCATGCATGTGAAAAACAGAGATTTTTTTTGATGAAAATGATAATAATTACCAGTTGCTTGGCCAAAAAGGATCATAGCATTGTGCACATTTTTTGAGGAAATAAAAGTGAATACTCTCTTTCATGTAAGCTATAAGATTGTTAGACAGGTGGGTATACTTTTCGTATTGATTTGTGCTGCACATGAAAATGTGTATAATGAGAAGTGCATTTTATGTAATTGCCCTAAGTTGTTCTTGCGACTCATCTCCATTTTGCATCCCTATATTTCACCTTTAAATGCCAGAAGACAATGTGGCCATTTGAAGCCTAGGTGACATGCAAATATACCCTTATGATACTAGTATGTTTTGGATCGACACTTGCTGCCATATGGATCTCATTTGGGTCTTCTTAATGTCATCAGGAAAAAGCAGAAGTGGAAGAAGATGAGAGATCTGAAGAAGAATCTGAAGAGGAGTCTGAGGAAGAACCTGATGTCAGTATATTGTCACTCAGTCCCTCATATCAAGCATCTTTTCCTTTCAGTTTGTGTTCAGAGATGGGTTTCACTTGTGTTTTCTTGTATTATGAAATGGCTAGACAATCTCATATGAGCTTTTTTTTTTTGGCAATGCTATTGACAGAAGCGGAAAGGTACCCAAGGTGTCATTGAGATTGAGAATCCTAATTTGAATAAGGCAAAGATGCTCAAAGCTAGAGATGTTGATGTAAGATACATACGTTATTCATTTATTTAGAATTTTGTGATAACTGCAGTGTGTAATATTCTTTTTGTTTTGCAGATCGAGAAAACAACTGAACTTTCAAGACGTGAGAGGTTTGTGAATGCTCGTCTACTTTCCACTTTATCAATTTCCTCTCCCTTTGTTCATTTTTCCTGTTTTTGTAACTCCCAATGGGCAAAGAGTAAAGAGAAAACAAAAAATTGTTCAATCTTTCCTTTGAGAATCAGTTTCTTTCTCCTTTGTCTGAGTATCTGATTCTCTTCATCTCATGGAATTGTAATTCCCCCTACCCAGCCCAAGCTTGAACAGGAAAATGCCCACCACCTTCCTCATCTTTTGAACAAAAATTGTCTACCCTTGAGGTCCATTGGTATAATAAAATTGCCTAGCAGCCATTTGGATCCATTTTCTTTTTGAATTTATAATTTTTGTAATGTTGTTTTCAAGTGAAAGAGATTTTTTTTTTATTTCTTATGCTTTCTTTTATTGTTCACAGAGAGGAGATAGAAAAACAGAAGGCTCATGAAAGATATATGAAGCTGCAAGAACAAGGGAAAACAGAACAATCAAAAAAAGATTTAGGTACGACACTAGATTAGTATAGTTCATTCATATGCTTTGAAGATTTGGTGTTACTTCTAGTTGCCTGGGCATTAGTTAGATTTTGTGTTTAACTGTATTTTGAGGTAGACTTTTTTTGAGTAATTTTGTGTACTGGGGCATACTTCTGCTTATGTAATGATAATGTAATGATTTTGGTTAGTGTCATACATGCATTGTTTGATTGGCTGAACAAATACCATATGATTTTGAAGCCCAAAATGAATCCTGCGGAGCCCAAAAGAACACAGGAGGCTTTTTCATTTTAGAGGGAAGTTTTGTGAGCAGTTCGTAGAGTATATTGTATGCTAATAAGTAGTTGGTAGAGTCTATTATTTGTATTGATTTAGGATAGTGAGTTGTTGGTAAAATGTACTGAAGTTTGATTGAGTTTCCCTTGTTGAGGTTATTTAGGTCTTTCTAACAAAAGGCATATGTGGGCATTGGTTCTGGTCCTATTTTAGTTAGTTTGCTATTTGGGCTTATTTGGAGTCCTCCTTTGTGGTTTAGAATAGTCTGAAAACATCGAAGTTTCCTATTTTGAGGTATTGTTTCACATGATAATTCCCCTTAGCCTCTTAATATATGTAACATCTATTTTATTTAATACAGTTGAGATTATTTATGTGCTTTGCCTGCCCTGATGAGGGCTGGGTGAGATTTGTTTTCTTATTGTTCAATTACCCCTTGTTTCATCCACTGTTCTCCATCAACAAAGACTAAGCCACTCCCTAAATAGCATTCTAAACTCGTATCGTTTTTTGCTCTGCCAACCTCTGGTAAATTCTAAGCTCCTTTTCCTGCCTTTTTGGCCTTAAATCAAATATCTAGAATCATTGAAAGCTTGTTGTCCAGGACTTCCAGCACACGTTTTTATAAATTTCCTGCAGGCAATAATCCCCTAATATCAATATACTTCTTTGACAACTGGTTGATTTTTTTAGATGAAGAGAAATTATAATATTTGACGATTTATGGTTGATTCTGTCCTAATTGTGCAGAGCGTTTGGCCCTTATACGACAACAAAGAGCAGAGGCCGCCAAAAAACGAGAAGAGGAAAAAGCTGGTAACATTCTGAGATAACTATTCTTATCTGTAGCTTTTTGTTCCCATGAATATGTTATGATCAGTATACTAATATTTTTCATTTTTTCACAGCCAAAGAACAGAAGAAGGCTGAAGCCCGGAAATGATTTTGGCTGGTGTCAGGAAACTACTATGTCAAACAAGTACTTATGTTTTAGTGTTAGTTTTAGTAGGCTTATAATCAAGGAATGTTATTTTATGGATCACTGTTTGACCATATAGAATCCCCTATTTATCAGAAGTTTTAGCCTTTTATTTTTTATTTCGGTGTATGTTGGTTTTATACTGGAAGAATCCTGCTAAGAACTAATACTGATTTGTTAAGAGAGTTCTTGAGCTACTGATAGTGTGCTAGTTATTTTTTATTTTTTCCTGTGGTGCTTTGGAGGGAACCTCAGTTACGTACCCTAATAAGACTAACACTAGAAATGTCTGCCTTCATAAGGGGTAACAGACAGGCAGGTGGCTGATTTAGATTGACAAGGCAGACATAAGGGTAATGTCTGCCTTGTTTCTCACCCAGCTTAGCTAGGCAGTCAGCGCACTGGTTCCTTTCCCCGAGTGTGTGCCACAGCATGATGTTGTTGGTACTAATGATGTGCTTGCAATCCTCAATCGATGCTTTGAATGGGTGGCATCCTGGTGTGTTGTTCCCTGCAGTCGGTTGAAACTTTCGAGTGAATCCGTCTTAGGGATGCAGCTCACTCCTCTGCTTTGGGCCATAAAAAGGCCTTTGTAGATTGCCCACAGTTTTGCCTTGTAGCTTGTTGTGTGGTTGATCCTTCCGAAGAACCCTACCTTCCAGTTGCTTCTGTCATCTCTTAGGATCCCTCCAATATCAGCTGAGCTGGGTTATCTTTGGAGCATCTGTCGGTGTTGATTTTATGCCATCTCGGAGGTGGGAAATCCAGCCAATTAGTTATGGTTGTGGTGTTAATTTCTGGGACTTACCTCTATGGAATGCTTCCACAGTTTCCTGGCCTAGCATTCTGGCCTTTCTGGCCACCGTAGGAACCTCTGATCTTATGTTCTCAATACATTCTTAGTTTCTGTGTTTCCAATTATTCCACAGGATTGATAGAAATAGTTGGGATCAGGGTCTACTATTCCAAGAGTAGTTGGCTCCAATGCTGCAATATTTCACAAGCCATTCATTGGGTAGGAGGAGGTATCTCTGGCACTTTCCTTTGGGGTTGGAGTTTTTTTTTTTTTTTTTTGGGGGGGGGGATGGTGCATGACAATGAACATTAAGTATTTTAACTTTGGTGGTATTTCTAATTTCTAATTTCCATATCCAGTCCCAGTCTGTAACTTGCGACTGCTCTAGTTTTCCTTCTGGTTATGGAGGTATAGAAGGCTTTTGATGAGAACTTACCTCCAAATTGCTTTGGCTCCTCAAAATGTTCGCACTAATGTACCAGCTACAAACACTTGACCCTTTTTAGATCTTGCAATGGCAGAAGGCCCGTTGTCATTTGTTTTTTTTTTATCTGTTTTAGGGTTTCTGGGTTAGTCAAATTAAATTCATCCTAGTAGTAGTGTTCTACTTCCTGTCTTTTCTTTATCATATACTTTCATATATAGGCAGATACAGGGTTATCAATAAATTACGTCTAAATAATATTATAATTTTTTGTTCGCCCCGGAAAGGATTTATATCTCATTTTACACCATGCAGTTATGTAGTACTTTCTTCTTTATTTATTTATTTATTTTTGGGTAATATGGATTCCTCACAAAACCATGCATTCTTTAGAGTTGTTACTATATCATAAACTTTTGATGTACGCAATTGCCCATAAACTATATATATAAATTAAACCTAGGTTTTATGTGGTCATTGGAACTAGATATATAGATTTACGTCTCATTCTTTGCTCGACTATTGAACCAATCCATAAGAGTTTATTTGTAGTATATTATGCTTTCAAGAATACAATATTAGATTCCTTTTATTTATTTAAACTTAAGCAAAAAGGGTAGAGTTATTGTGGTGACTAAGACCCTGTCTTGATGAAAGATAATTTATGGATAAGGAGACTCAACTTAAGATCTCAAGTACATGGTTACCTTTATAATGCGGGCTTTGATTTGGGACAAGCCCGCTTAGTTATTTTTTACAAACCCAAAGGTGAGATCTACATTGGGCCCATCTGTTTTTGGTAAATAGCCTCAGCACTGGCTTTACGTTACGTTAGCAGTTAGTGATATGATTTGTTAATACGATACGAAATTAGATGGTTTGAATCTTTCTTAGACAACCTATTTAGTAAATAAGTGGACTCAACTTGACACGTTTAATAAACAAATCAAGTAAGGGTGAAGTCAATCAGAAGAAATGTACAATATGACTCATATATATATCATTTCTACCTGGTTTATTCATGACACGATTCATTGGACAGGAATTAATAAATGAATTGGATATGAGTAAAGTATTTTTTTGATACAACTCCGCTAAAATTCGACATGAACCCGCCGCACCTGACACGATTGACATGTCTAGCTAGTACCCAAGGAAGCAACCCGAAAAATAAAGAAAAATAAAACTGTAGTTATCACCAAATTTCAGAAAAAAGGAAAATATCTGTTTCTGACAATCACACTGAATGCAACTATGCAAGCTGAAGCCCATATTTGCATTTGTGTTCAAAAATTAGTTTGGCCTTTTTATTGTGGCCATCCGTTCAATGAAACTATTGAATTGAAAGTGAACTTTATCGAATATTTGAAACTTACAATTAATTCTACAATTGTATTGAATTACGTCCCTATAGCATTGTTGATTTGAGATATGTCCAGTGGGTGGGAATTGTATAATGTTTTTGTTGGCAACTCTCCATGTTCATGTTCATGGCTCTAGCTGGTTTCATACTGATAGTTCAATAATTGCCTTGGGTCTACAATATATACCTAACAAGTAAATGCAATACCTGTACACCCACCTCATTAAATCAACAATAAAATATTTTCATTTCTCTTGGCAAAAATAGTTTTTGCAAATACAATACAAATTCTGTCCTCACGAGAGCTTCTCTATCTTCTGATGGATTGCATTTCAAAGTTGTAGATATCAGTCATAACCCAGTACGGGTTTTTTTTTTGGTATTACGGCAAGAATGCTCGGACCAGCTTACACATATTGTGATTGATTCCCTCTCCAATACAGTCAAAAACAAATTATCTACTTTGAGACTAGGATAAAAAGCAAAGCACAGAGACTGACATAGTAGAGCAGTCAATTGAAATTGAATCGACTGTTTCACAATCATTGTAGGAATTATACTTAGTGATTTGCGAAGGCTGATTATGCATGAGATTACAAAACATTGAATCTAAACGTGGTGGAGTTTTTATGCTAGTAAGACTGCTCTATTTTATTACATAATGGGTGATTACAATTTTATGATTAGTGTCGTACTCTATGATTATAATTTTATTACATATATATATATATATATATATATTTTTTTTTTTTCATTCCATCCAAATTTGATTTTACGGTATAGATGCTTATGACCTCCCCTATACTCCTACAATATATGTAGGGTTGATAATCGAGCCAAGTTATTGAGGCTCGACTTGGGCAGAATTCAGTTCGAACTCGAGCTTGTGTTTTAAACGAACCGAAATTGAACAATTTTTTAGACTCATTTAAAAAAATAATTTTCATATCCGCATATTATAATCAAATAACATTACTCAGTATAAATATGTAGCTCTTTCTCCACCTTTAATATTGAGAGAAACCCTACTCTTTTTGGAACCATACGGTACACGGAATATAAAATTATTCGAATAGCTTCCATGTGGGTCGAGGGTTAGTAAAATTCTGGTCCGGGTGGGTCTGATTTCAGAAACTGTTATTAAAAATATTGTTGTACCAATATACAAAGAGTAATAAAGGCTTTGAGTAACAGCAACGTCTCGGTAGAGGCGGACAATTCTATGGTATCCTGCCCGTTGAATACTCGCTAGGGAGAGATTTGTCGCCTTTGTGTTCTTATTCGGCTGGAATCTGAATTAATCGGAGTCTACTGTGGCTACCGGAAAATGGATGGTCTAAACCAAAAAAAAAAAAAAAAATCTACGGTATAGAAAAAAAAAAAAAAAATCGGTACAATATAACCATATACAATTTTTTGAAAGTGAAGTTATAATTTTTTGAATGATTTCAAACATCAAAAACGTTATAACTAGACCCCAAAAAAGAGAAAATTTAAATTCAAAAATTTATAGTTTTTAGGATTAATCTTAAAATATTATGATCGATCATAATGGTTTATTTTTTTTTTTTTTTTGTAATTAGACCCAAAAAACTTGAATTTTATCCAGATCCAAGTGAATTCTGTGTTGGTAAATTTAAAGCCACTGCTTTCCAAGAACTGGTTAGCTGCTATTTGGAAGTGGTTGAGTAAACTCCAAGGTAGCTCAATTGATGGTATCTCAATTGATAATAGAGACGAACTGTAAACGCAAACGTCTTGAGTTCGAATGTTGATTAGGTCATGGAGATTTATCGGTCATGGATATTCTAATTTCGATGTGGATAGTCTATCTTTAATCAAATTAAAGAGAAGATTAGTCAAAGTACAAACAAACTGATTCGAACATCCTAAACATTGAACCAAAAAACAAAAAGAGTGCCACTAAGTAATTACTAGGTGGTGTTTTGTGCCTTGTGCATTATTCTTTTGCTCAACTGTAGAAGGAACTGAAAGTTTTTTAGCTGGCCGTTGGCTTCTTTATGTGAAGCAGTTTTCTGATCCATTGCTTGAAAAAGTTCAACCAAGTTCGATATACTCCCTTATATATGTTGAAAGACAGGAAGTGTGATGTTCATACGTACCTAAAAGTTTATTACTGGGTATAGGTTGATCTAATAGCTTACCGACCACCGGTGTAGCTCTATCATTTTGAGAGTATAATTAGAATCATCGGTTATCGATCGGCTCAATAATGTAACTTATTAGAACACTCGAAAATTAATATTCGAAGACCTAATATACATCTCTGAAACTCATACCGATCCAAAAATTTAAACCTATAAGTGATCGGCTCATCCATAATATATTAAGACACGTTAATTTTTTATTTTTTGAAATGTGAAATTTTCACACATAAAATATCCTTACACTTTAGATATTGTATGATTTTTGTGCCATTGATAAGTCCTTTGTTATAATTTAAGTGGGAAACACACTCGTATAAATTCACAAGTTCAATATTTTCCACATTCTTTAATGACCAGTAACTCCTATTCTTAAGAGACATATTTTTAAATTAGTTCAAGTTACTGTAACTAGCTCAGAACTTGAGAGAATCGTTGGTGGAAATCTAGACAACTTGTAGCAAAAAAAAAAATCTACAATCAATGGATGGTGGATGATTTATTATTGAAATATAGTTGAGAAGAACTGGATCCAATTCCAATCATACATCCATATCTGCATGGAAGGACCACAAAGGAGATTGGACAAAAAAAGAAAGAAAAAGAGGTGTCCTGTCAATTTAGTATCTTCCTATATCTACACGTATGTATTGATTGCAATAACATTTCGAGTGGTACTCTTTCTCCATCATTATCACATAATGAATCATAAATTCAAGTGAAACTCATTTTAAATCAAAATAGTAGATGACGAGACACTCAGAAATTGAAAACATTCAATGCACGAGGAGATTGATAGGGTTAAAATCCATAATTCAATGAAATAATGCTATTTAGATCTAATATCCCACCTAATTTGCGTATTGAATCTACTAATGTTGTTAAACTAGCAGTAGATTCTTTTGCCCTTGTTTATAAAAATAGTTTTTTAAGGCAATCTAGCCACTTTCAAAGTGAATGAATTCAAGAAAGGTGGTTGAGATCACTTGAAACATCTTAGGAAGAGTTTGGTTTATCAACCCAAACCAATGGTGACAAAAGTTAATTTAAACCCCTCCCCAGACACACACACACACACACACAAAAGTGCATCTTCAACATGGAATCTTTTCATATCCACCCATAAACAACCATAGTATTAGAGCTATAAGATTGGAGGCAACTGTCCATTTGCCTCCTTAAAAAAAAAAAAGCCACCCAACTTCTTTTCTCTCAGTTAGACACAACTACAATAATATGATCTCTACTAACAAGCATTTGTTAACCTATCTTCATCACTATCCTCTTGTCTTCCTGATCTTGTTTCTTCATGTGTTAAACTTTATCTGTCATGCTGAAGATCATAGTACTAATCTATCCAAAAACAAGGCTTGGAACCACTCAGTTTCTGCTATTTTAATCTTTGGAGACTCAACAGCTGATCCAGGGAACAACAACTACATACAGACTCCTTTCAAGAGCAATTTTCCACCTTATGGGAGAGATTTTATGGATCAAATTCCGACCGGAAGGTTTACAAATGGGCGCCTTGCTAATGACTTTGTTGGTAAGAAATTATTATTTTTTTGTTTGAAAGAAAGGCTACGTACATTCATGCTGGTTAGTTCAGTGGTCGAACATGGGATAATTTGTTGTAAACACGTCCATTTTGGCTCTAATTGATATTTGTGGTTTACGATTGATTACATGTATCGGATTTCTAAGAAACACATGGTTGAGACGATTTTTTTATTGAATAGTAAGAGTGATGTTTTTGGATGTGAATTGTCTGTGTTTGAATTGGTTTGTGTTTGATTGCAGCTAAGTATATTGGTGTCAAAGAGAATGTGCCTCCATATTTGGACCCAACACTGGGCATTGAGGAGCTGATGACTGGAGTCAGTTTCGCCTCTGCTGGATCTGGATTCGACCCTCTTACACCAAGAATAAGCGTTTCTCTCTCTCTCTCTCTCTCTCTCTACATGTTACAATCTCAACAATGGCTCGAATCTCATTTCTTTCCCACCAACTATTGAGTCTCACAGTATCATTTCCACTAATTGAATTGATTTTACATTGCCGAAAACCAATCGTCTATCATGTTTTCCATGCAAAATGTCCGAATACAATCCTAACGGCCAGCTCAAGTAGTAATAGAGATAAATTATAAATCTAAACGTCTTGAATTTGAATTTTGGCAGCCCTTTGGGTCAGGCCATAAAGGATTTATCCCTCGTGAATACTCTAGTCTTAATGTGAACGGTATGCGTTTGATTGAATCGGAGAGGAGATTAATTGAGATGTGCATAGTAAATTGGTCTGAACATTCTTGACCGTTGAACGAAAAAAATAAAAATGTCCAAATGCACATTTAAATATGCGCTTTCAATGTCTGTAGTTGGGATAGTGTAAAACCAATAACCTTAGACGAAGGTACAAAGTGAAAAATATGAGAGAGGTTAATGTAAAAGCAATGACCATAATTAGAGTTATAATATGAGAAACGTGAAAATAATTATTTGAGAGCTAAAACGTATTGACGGGTTAAAGCGGAATTTTGCCGTATACGTAAAATATATATCGTTTTTCTTTTTCTTTTATATTTTGAAATACAGCTCCTTCATTTATGTGGGTTTGTCTCATTTCAGAATGTGATCTCACTGTCTAAACAACTAGATTACTTCAAAGTGTATCAAAGTAGATTGGAGGCTGCAATTGGGAAGAAAAGAACAAAGCATCTGATAAAGAATGCTTTGTTCTTTGTCAGTGCTGGGACGAATGACTTTGTTGTCAATTATTTTACTGTACCCATTCGAAGGAAGAGCTACAACCTCCCAACTTACATGGCTTTCTTGTTGCAGCAAGTCCAGCTGTTCATGCAGGTTTGGTTATTTTATTTATTATTTTATCTTACATTATTATTTTTAGAAACCAAACAAAAATCGAGACAAAATTAATAAACTTTTGGTTTAAATTTAGACGGGTCTGGTGGTAAATAGGTGGATTGGTTAGACCCCATCAAATAAGTAGGTCGATAAGATACAAACTAAACACTACTTGAACTCACTGAATATGACTTATACACAACACATATTTGACATGACACAAATCCGATTATATGTAAAGGTTAGAGATTTGCAGCAGGGGTGAGTTAGGTGAGAGAGAGGAAGATGAATGATAAAATTGGTAATTTATTTTTTTAATTAAGGAAAAAAATTATTCATTTTATAACACGCGCAAATTTAGCACGTGCAATTACTGCACCGTTATAAAAAAAAAGGGATTATGTTAGTTTTGCAGTTTGTTCACAAATTAGAGGGGATTAAGTGAAACTCGTAAAAATAGAGGGGGTGAAGTGAGATTGAGGCTTAATACAAGGTTTTTTTTTTACCCTTTTTATTATTATATTTATTAAATTAATTTTAGTTTATAGAAAAAAGTATGAGCATAAGTTCGATTAAGTAATAATAAAATTTTAGATATAAAACTGAGTATTAAAATTTTTATTCACAGGTTATATGAGTCAACACGAATACGACATGAAAATAAATACGTAAACACTATATAACACGATTAATTAAATATGTTGGGTTAAAGTTGACTAGTAGTGCTCGACACAAACTCAAAATGACACAAGACCATTGTCACCCATTTATATATGATTATGAATAGATTAACTATGAATTGAATAAACTCTGACACGAAACGACTTAGCACAACATGAATCCGACCTTAATTATAACGCGGTTCAACTATTTGTGGTTGATCTTAATTGACCCAATTGAGCCATAGCTTTTTTGAGCGGTAACTTAAGTTGATTTCAACGGAATTTTTGACATGTTAGAACATTTTGGGTACGTCCATGGAATAATGGATGGACCTGGTGGTCCAGTTTCATCCGTGGAAAGTGACAAGTGTCTCACTACTTGGATAAAATTGTTAGGTTTCATTAATCTCATTTACGAGGAAGGGCCCTAAGAGTTGGTCTAGTGCATTAAATGATAGTCAAGTTGCTCCGATTTGGATCCTAACATTTAAAATTCTTGTCGTTTTATTTGAAAAATATTATTTAGACTTAATTTAATGTAATTATTGGATTAAAAGTGAGCTTTATTTAACATTAAAATTTAGAAGTATCCGGACCAACTTACGCGGATCTCGACTAATCTCCTTTTCAGTCTGATTATAGACACCGTTGAAACAAAAAACCAAAAACATTGAAATTCACAACTTGGTTGCATTGAATTAGGTCTTAATAGTATTGCTTAATTTTCTATGTTATATGAACCCTTTTGAAATTTAGAACATATTATGGATCTGGATCCTCTGCTGTTAGTTTTTTAACAGTAGATATGTTGTTTTTTGAAACGACACCGTTTCATATCAAAACAACATTATTTTATTAAGAATCATGTTACAAAACTCAAATAAAATTAAAAAAATTATAACCCAAAAACATATCATTCTTTGGGTCCCAATAATTTTGTCAATGAGATCCACTTATCTCACACTCATCCAATGAATGATATGTATTTAAATTTTAATTTTTAGATTATACAATATTTTTCTTTTATTAAATAGAATGACACCGTTTTGATGTTAAAAGACATTGTTTTGAAGAACAATACTTCTGTTGCATAGTAGAGAGTCTGAACTCTCAACACTATACCACTATCATATTTATTACATTAATTACCTCCTATCAATTAACTCACACATTGTATAAGTAAGTACAATATGACCCATGACATTTCTTATATCATGGAGCCCAACAGATTTGATATTGAGCAAAATTGATTACATTTCAACTTGAGAGGTTCATGATTTAGTGATCCAATCAACAAGTTATTTCCTTCAACGAGGTCAACCCATTGACAACACTTGTATGGAATGAAAGAGTTTCACGAAAATTGTTTTAATGGTCGAATATCACTGATCTACCGTATGATCATGAAAAAAGGAGAACAGGGTTGTTATACTAGTAGCAATACTCAAACTTAGATCATCTTTGAAAAGGAATAACTCTTCAATTAATCGGTCAAATGTACTCAAGCTTTGAGATCTATACACCTTTGTTTTTTCTTCACTTAACCTGCAGGGACTGTGGGATGAAGGGGCTCGGAGAATCGGCATGGCTGGTCTGCCTCCGATGGGTTGCTTGCCCATTGTCATCACCATCAACGCAATTTCCCGGCGCGGCTGTATCGATTTCTTCTCCGCCGTGGCCAGAGAGTACAATATAATGCTCTTGAATGAATTGAGTGCTATGCAATTTAGATTAGCAAATATTGGTGCTCGGATTGCCTATATGGACATATATGGACCACTGGCAGACATGACCCAAGGCCACAAGTTTGGTGAGTTAATCATTCTTGTTCTATTTTTCTGCTTTTTTTTTTTTCTAAAATTATATTTTATTCACTAAGTGGCTTGTAGCTATATAGAGTTTTTACCCTTTTCCCATATAAAAAATCACAATATTAAAATAAATATTAAGCCTCGTAATTTGAATAAGAATTATTGTTATATATGTTTACGATGTGATTATATAAAAGAGGATGTTCCATAGAACAATTCTCTGGATACTATAGGAGATTTTGATAGGATGATTAGTAATAATCCGTGACTGAAATTAATATGCAATACGAAAAATGAGCATTAATTATAGAATATTTATATTTTAAATAATATTTTTGTCTTTAATTATGTAATTTAAAATTAAAGTGAATAGAGAGAAAATAAGATAAAAGTAAGTGTGGATTAGTGGAGTTTTCTGGTATTGAGGAGTGCATTGATTAAGTTTTTTGAATCGGAGATCGTGCAAAGAATATGATATTTTGAATGAAGAAAAAAAAATTGAGAAGAATTTTATACCATTAGATTAACGAAGATAAAATAGTTAATAGAACTTTTGGTCTCTAAAAGATGTCCATCTTCATTGTATTAATTTTATCAATTTGATCTTTAAAGTTTTTATTTGTGTCACTTTAGTCCTTAATTAGATAATTCGTTAAGTTTTTTTGACGGAAGTGGACACATATCATTCTTTCAGATGGTATCAAGTGACCAACACGTGATCATTTCTTTAAAAACTTAACAGTCCGTCTATGTAGGGACCATTTAAATACAAATTAAATATTTTAGAGACCAAATTAACAAAATTAATATTTTAAGAACCAATTGACAAAATGTGTATACTTGAAGGACCAAAAGTCCTATTAACCTTAAATAAAAATTTGATCAATTTCGACGATTATTGTGTTTTTAAGAATTTAACTTTTTTACATGTAATGTTCGATAAAATAATTTGTTGTTTTTTTTTTTGCTAGGTTTTGCTGAGGTTAGCAGTGGTTGTTGTGGTACGGGCTTACTTGAAACAGCATTCTTGTGCAATCCCACATCCTTCGTTTGCCCGGATGCATCTAAGTATGTATTTTTCGATTCGATTCATCCGACGGAGAAGACATACTCGATCATTTTCCAGTCTCTCCAACCTACCGTTGATTACATCTTACGGGACTAAAGAGTTGACCGTAAGGTTTTGGATGGTGAAGATTACAACTAAGTGAGGTTGACATGGCTAGTGAATAACTTGAACGAAATTATTTACCAGAAGACACATTACTTTTTTCATGTATGCAAGTGTTTTTAATTACATTGTTATGGGTCCGAACAAAGTCCAAAGGAGAAAATAGTAAATAATTTTATCCCATTTTAAAATAAAAATTCGTAGTTAAGCTTACGATGCTTCACTTGGGTTAATGAATATTTTATATGCATTTAAGTGAAATTCATTGTATGCAAGTGATTTCCTTACTCGTGGCCAGTGGATGATGAGAGTTCGAGAAAAAATATATTGGAATAGATGTGTATTAAGTTTAAACTAATGCGTTTATATGGAAAAAAGTTTGATTACTTAAATCTTGGCATTAATATTCTTGTAGAATTAGTTGAGAGAGAACTAGGTCCTAACATGGGTACTTGTGCTTCTCGTTCCAAACACAATACGATTAACAAAAAAATGGGATTAGTGTCATTCACCTAATACGTTTAACTCAACGTATCCTGTTAGTGTTAAACAATATTGGAGACAACATCGATATTGCACGATCTGAATATTATTAATATTTATCAAAGAAAGGAGAAAGAAGAAATAGAGAGACAAAGAGATTCTTATTAAGATAAAATCTACGTCTATATTACACAATAACAATCTTATATACTAGGACAAAACATACTAACATAAATGACTAATCTATCATTACTAATGTACTAAATTACTCTAACATCGCTCCTCAAATTCATGACGTAACAAAACTAAACATCAAGAGTTTTTTAAAAAAAAATGGAAGCGTGCGATAATGTGAGATTTTGTAAAGAAAAATGCTAATTGCATAGTAAAAGGAAAAAAAGGAGAGAGAGATCGCGTCCAACTAAAGATGATGATACATAAAATAACAATTAATTTCAATATGATTTGTGCGCTCATAAAATGAGTTGTGGGCAATCTGTATAGTACTAGTATTATCACAATACATTGGAATAGGAATAGACGAAGAAATACAAAAATTAGAAAGCAGTCAACGTAACCAAACTATCTTTGTTATAGTGGATGTCATAGCACGATCCTCTGCTTCAGCAGAGGATTGAGCCACAATATTTTGCTTTTCCACTAAATAAGAGAATTACCAAGAAAGAGACAAGAGCCAGTGCTGAACGCTGCTCTGATACCATGTTAATATTTAATAAAGAAAAAGAAAGAAGAAATAGATAGATAAAGAGATTCTTATGAAGACAAAACTTACTTCTATATTACACAATAACAATCTTATATACTAGGGCAAAATGTATTAACATAAATAACTAATCTACCCCTACTACTAATGTACTAGATTACTTTAACAAATACGACATGACATAACTGGATTAACACTCTCCTAACCTTGAGGTGGGGGTAAATACACATTCATACACCCCTCCAAATCATGCACATCTTTCACACAAACAGACTAATATATCAAGTTTATCAATATCCTCAGAAACAACAGCAACAGCCAAAACAAATCATCCGGATCAGTTGAACAAACTGGCCCCTATAGATTTCAAAGCCTCATCAGCAATGATCTTGTACATCTTTTCTGTGGGATGAACAGCATCCCAGAACACATATTTTGTGGGATCAGCACATGTGTTCAAGCCTCTGCATGTACCACCATACTCAAACATTCCTGACCCACAACACCCCTTTGAAGTCTCTGTGAAACCTGCCAATTTCCACTTACATTTTCTCAGTAATAATGTTATTTAAACCTAATTTACTCACCTAATCAATCACAATCATTGGATTAGTTGCGGGTCTCAACAAATATTGAGGTCTACTATCAATCCAATGATTATGGATGACTAAATCCGTAAATTAGGTCCGAGAAGCAGGGCTCTTTTGTCAAATTATTTAGGTTAAAATTACAGTGGCATCCCTTGTAGATAGGTAAAAATGTAGGTGCGCCCCCTTTGATTTCTGAAATATGACTATGATCCTCACTTATCACTTCAAAAAATAAAAATAAAAATGGAGATGAATAAAAAGCTAAAAAGATTAAACATAAGAAATGGATATATCCATCACAATTCAATTAAGTTGGAAAAAACCAAATGAGTTGAAAATAAAAAATCTAATAGGAAAATGAAATAATCATGTCCATAATTCCAAAATACAACAAATTAAGAAAGTACATAAAATACCTACTGTGAAGTTAAATAAAAACCACTTTTCATGACATTTTCAGTAGAAGATATACAAAATAAACAAATCACCACATTTTCATATAAATTAAGAAAAACATAAATATTTTCCTTTATTTTTTAATATGTAATATAGGAAAAAGACAAGGGTAGTAAATGTAAAATTGACACTACCTCTGTAACTTTTACCTATAAAAACTGACATGGGTGTCCCTGTTTTTGATTTCAGAAAATCAAAGGGATATTCCTATATTGAAGGCATTCTACAAGGGCTTTAACTGTAATTTACCTAATAATATATAACTTGATAGGTTTTTTATTTTGGGTCACGCAATGTTACAAGGAGAGAGACGATGAAGTTCGAACCTGTTCTTAAAGTGTAATGGTAGGGACAGTGGTCAATAGACCAACTGTTAACCTAAACTTGATAATTGAATGCTATCATTTTTTAAGTAAAAATTGTACTAACCGTATCTTTTGGGGTTCAGTATTGATCTTTGTATGCTGCTATATATATCAACATAGGTTGTTCTTAACCCTAATGATTCCTTCAGGATTGCCAACCTTTCTTTTAACTTAATACCGAATGAGAAGGCAACTCTGTTTAATGCAGCATCACATCTAGTTTCATCCCTTAGCGTTTTGATGAGAGGCAAGCACCCTAAAGGGGGAACCCCCACCATCACTAATCTCCTGGCTCCTAGAGAATGCATTTCCTGCAAAGAAAATATGACATGAAGACGGTTGTTAATAAAGTCACGTCGTGTTAGGTTTGGATAATCCTCCACTCGAACGAGGCTTACAATGAATGATTATCATAATTCTCTCATCCGGCACAAGGAGCCGATTTCATATGGTAGCTTAGGTCATGACTCTGATACCATTTGTTGGGCATGAGTTTCCAGCTCAAAAGACACACCTAGTTGGTGGAGTGAGCCAGTCCCTTATACGGCCCTGACCCTCCTCATTATCAACTGATTTGGGACTTGCTCGACACCTTAACAATAATGAACTATTTAGCTCTTGGACAATTTTTGCAACATTCTTCTCACATCAGTAAAACCAACTATTTGAGTCTAACATTGACACAATCTATTTATTATTCTTACTAAATGATTGTCTTTTTTGATTGGTAGTCCACCAAGAAGCTGTGTATGTGTGTGTGTGAGAGAGAGAGAGAGAGAGAGACCTTAACATCACGAGACATGCAAGAGATCAAGTAATCCTGGTATTGTTGAACACTGAATTGCTTGGAGCGAATAGGTTCTGCATAGTAGTTTTGGAGGAAGTCATTTGTGCCCATACTTACTACAAATATTGCAGATCTGATGATATCCTCAGTCTTTTTCTCTCCCACCATTTGTCTCAAGTGAATCTTGTAATGTCTGAGATACTCTAATTGCTTGGAAACAGGCAACACATTCTGATTCATGGAGGGAACAAAATGGGAAAGAAATCAATTCCATTTTTACAAGAACCCAAGACCAAACCATCTGCATGCAATGTCATGTTTGATTTGAATTATGTTATTGTAGTTGTGTCATATGGTTTCGGGTATGTGTCATTTTCGTATAACTCGTCGAAAAATTGTAGATTTTGTATTATTTTTCCTCTTAAAAGTGTACTTGGTCCACACCCTCATGAAAGTGTTCTCGTTTGTTATATGTTATCCTATTGGAATTAGGTTTGTCGATCGTGTTGGGTGAGGAGAGCTCGTGTTGGGTGGGTTCATATAAAAAAAAACACTAAACTCATACTTGATTCGTTTATTAATTCGTCAAAGACGAATCGTGTCGTATTGCACTCGTGTCGTACATAAATTATGTATAACCGGTACATAAATAAATCGGATTCACTCGTTTATAAAGCGAGTGACTTAAAAATGACTCAAATCCTTTAATTTTATATAATGATTGCGTCGTGTTGTGTTATATTTTGACACATTTAATTGGAATTAACCTGCAACGACCAAATAGATAAAAAACTTACTGAGAGATTGGCAGTGAGGTCGTCGTAACCAGAACCAGCAGATGCAAAACTAACACCATGCACGACATCTGATGTCCTTGTTTGTGGGTCAAGAAAACCTTTAACTATTTTTGTATACCAAAATGCATCAGCTACAAAAACACAAATACCCAAAAAAAAAATTCAAAAATCAACACAAATCACCTTTAATTAGCATGAATAAGTTGATAGAAAAAAGGGAAAAAAAATGAAGTTGTTCCGAATCCTAGATTATTGATGGGTACTTTGTACGAATCTTGAATGTCCTGTGCAATCTGGTCAATTATATGTTTCTTGCGAGACTTGAATTTCACACCTCCACTTCCATTTAACTACATAATAATCTACTACTCTTTAGTCTTTATCATTAATTTAAGTGTCGAATTTGATAAATATATACCACCTCAACTAGAGATCAGCGCGTGATTGCAAGTATCTAGGAATTTACTTTACTCGAGTAGTCAAATGTAAACCTGCTTTGGAGGGGTTTCTTGCCGTGGGACAAAAAAAAAACCCCTCAAAAAATTATGCATTAGTGTCGATCACTGACTTTACTTTTTTTTTTTTTTTAAGATTGTAGGTGTTTACACCCAAAATAATAAAATATAAGGGTGACATGTGGAGGAAATCTGATGGTCAACAAAGAGTTAGCGAGAATTCAAGCCTAACACTGCGGTGAAAGAAATGGGACTTTGAGAACTCTGAAAAAGAGGAAAGGTGACATCATGAACTGTCAGTTAGAGACGATTCGGTGTATGTTTGCACGTCTCGAGATGCCGAAGATTAACAAATCCTGTTCCACTTTTCTCGCTTTTGAGTCACGAGGATCAAAAGAAGTAGAGATGTTGCTTAATTCAGAAAGCAGCTAGTATTAAGTTAATCTGCTTACCAATGAAGTCTGTGGCTAGTCTTCCATTGCTAAACCTTCCGGTGGGGAGGCCATTGAAGAAGTCTTTCCCATATGGTGGAAAATTGGCTTTAGTTGAAGTTGCAAGATGGTTATTATTTCCAGGATCAACACTGGAATCACCAAACACCAACATACAGGTTATATTGTTCTTGGCTGCCATTATCCTTAGCTGATGAACATCGACAGCTCGTGTCTGCAATGGCATTGCCGCCAGTAAGAGCACCACCACCACCACCGCTGCTACCACCATCGGCCTCATCACTTGCATACCCATTATTGATTCAGTTTGAAAAGAGTGAGAAGCTTCTTGGTCCTGAGCTGTGACCAAAGTTAACCTCCTCCAATTTAATGAGCCAGAATGGTAGGTTGAGAATTTAAAACTGTCTGTACACAAATGTAGCTATATCATTGATTGGGTTTCAACTTCCCTGGCTATATCTATTCCTAACATTCTCATTAGTACATGGTACTGTTTGATGGTGCCGTAGAAGGAGTTGTAACAGATTATACGGAGTAAGAAGACCATCATGCGTTTAAGACAGACAACACATAAAAAGAAAGAACAATAGTAGATGCAAAATGATCAGCAAAGTTGGAATTGGGTGAGACTAGTGCCAATTGATTAGAATTGACCAAAAATCAATGCCCTGATTTCCATTGCTTTTCAGTTAATTTTCATCGTTTAGACCTTTAAAATTATTTTTTTTTTGTTTTTTTTGAAGTTTAGAATATGTGTAAGTTATTTTACAAATTTGATTTAATATTAGTTAACTCTTTTAAAGTTCCGACAAAATATTGTTCTATTTTGTTACGCTACTTCAAAATTTTTATTTTTGATAATTTTTGTGATGTTTTAGAGTGTTTATGTACATATTTTTCTTATAGATTCAAAATTAAATGTTTTCGCTCTTCTTGAGAGAATTGTGATTTCTTTGTGTTTATTATCATATAGCATCACAAGTTGACCAATTTTATGATTAGACTCTCTTAAGGTTTAGAATTATATGTACGCCACAATCATATAAAAAAGAAAACTTAATACATGAAACTCTTATTATTACGAGTTTGAAGAGGGTCAATAATTCCTTTGACAGAAGACTAGAAGCTATTGAGGTAGGTGAAGGCAACTAGTAGTCTACTCCAATGATTGAGGTTAGGCTCAACTCAATTCGAATGCATGAAAGAAACCTAAAATAGATCAAATGGTCGAATCACCTAATACATTTTCTTTTCCTTTGCCCCAACAAGTTGGGCATAATGTCATTAAATTCCTACCAAACTCTACCCTCCTTTAATTATGTGGAAAGGTTGTGGTACCGCTAGCAATACGGTACCAAGTTATTTAAGTTATAAATTATAATTTATAAAAGTCATTATCGATCATAGAAGATTGAGATCGATATTGAAGTTGCAACTTTCAAATGTTAAGTTATAACTCACAAAAAAAAAGTTTTACTTGTTCAAATAAAATTTATGATTGATGATGAGTATCTGTAATGAATTTTACACAATTAGATTAAAATAAATAAAAATTAAATCAATCATGACTGTTGTTATTTCATAAGTTTAGAATTCAACTTACTATCTTTAATGTTAGATAGGTACTTTGCATTACTCTTATTATATACATGTAATTATGATTAAAAGAAAAGGAGTAATTGCTGACAAAATTGGTCAATAACTCGTTGTCCTCATATCTGGCAGAAGTAAAGCAATGACCCCAATATTTAGGATTAATCTCAACTTGCACCTCAAAAAATTATTCAAATTTTAATTTGTATCCTAAAAATTTAAAAACATAAATTTTCACACTTGAGGCTAACTTTGTCCATTTAGTCGTCAAAAATTTTGGGCTAACTATAAATTATACCCCTCAAAGTTTAAATATTTCATATTTATGACCCAAATTTTTTTTATCCATTAATATTTATTAAATAGCTTTCAATTGTGTCGTATTATAATCTTCGTATCATGTTCGAGTCACTAAAAAATATTTAAAAAAACTATAAAATATCTATTTTTTGCCTATAATACTTATTAAATTACTATTTTCTGTCTACAATTAGATACAAATATTTTGATTGCCTGATCAAATTAAAGTTAGATACAAATAACATAACTATAAATAGAAAATAGTTGTTTAATGAGTATTATAAGCAAAAAATAGGTATTTTTTAATTTTTAAAAAATATTATATGAATTGTCGTAAATGTGAAATATATGACACAACACAATTGACTTAACACAAAAATATTTTGTGTTAAAAATATATTTTTATTGACTCAAACATGATACAAAAATATTATGACACGATGCAACTGAAAGCTATTTAATGAACATTAATGGATGAAATTCTTTTTAGATCATAAATGTGAAATATTTAAATTTTGAGGAGTGTAATTTATAATTAACCCAAATTTTTATAACAGGAAAATAGACAGCAGTTAGTCACATGTGCACAGTGACATGCATTTATATCTTTTAGGGTTAAATTAATATTTTTAAACTTTGATATTGAAAATTAAAATTCAAGTGATCTTTCAGAGTGCAAGTTGATATTAACTCTAATATTTATGTCACCTTTCTCGGTGCATCATAAATTTTTATACAACCTGTATTTGATCGAATCGGAAAGATAACTAGTTGAGATTTACGTAAATTAGTCTGGATACTCTTAATTGTTAAAGTAAAAAAAAATAAAAAAATAAAAATAAATTTTGTACCAGGTAGAGAGGCACAAATAAATGCAAATGACTCGTGTCTAATCTAGGGTTGAGGAATGGATCGAGTTCATATCCTATATAATTTGTGTAGTCAGATTCGCTTCATGTATAATTATGCACGTATTAATTACTTTCAAATAGATATAACCAATCAGCTCTAAGTATTACTTAAATTAGTTAAGATTAAACTCATAATCTCGTGTTGAGTCGTGTTAAAATTTCTAATTTTAATTTAATCCATGACCAACCCCTTTTTAAAAGCAATAAGAAGAAATTCAAAACACTCCGGTGGGTACAACTATAAATTTGTACTAAAACCTTCACTCTTTCATAAGGATTAGAAAAATATTCTTAAGAGGAGCATCATATTTTCGTGTGATGTGCGATAATAAATGACGGTTTTGAATTTGAGCCTCTCCTATGGAACTACTCGCGAATAAGAATGATAAAATATAACACGATTCGTTGATACGATACGAAATTAAAAGGTTTGAATTTTCTCTAATTCACATGTTTCGTAAGACAAGTATACCTCATTTGACTCGACATGATTAATAAACGAATTGAGTGTGAGTGAAACTAATAAGAATAATAATACGACACGAATACAATATAACATGATTCATTAGAAACAAATTGATAAATAAATCAAATATAAGTAAAATATTTTTTGATACAAACTTGTTAAAACTGTCACCCGACATGGCTGAGAGGCCTCCTCATAGAGAATTTAGTATGAATTGTAAGATGGATTTTGTATTACAAAGACTACTCAAAAATGTTTTAACATACTCTTTGATTTTAAGACAAAAAACAAGATTGAAGGGGAAAAATTAAAAAACAAATAATTTATAATATATATATTAAGAATGATCAATAATGTCAAATCCGTTGTAGTCTAGGTGGTTAGGATACTCGGCTCTCACCCGAGAGACCCGGGTTCAAGTCCCGGCAACGGAATTTGTTTTTATTTATGTCTTTTCAATTGTTTATCGCACGTGCGCCGTCGGTGACAAACCAAGAATGACAGGCTAATAGGAATCAAGAAAATGTCACAGCCAAGTCCGAACCTTGGCGGGAAACAAATAACACAGCTTCTGATATGTACATGATTACATCTATCAGAAACATAACCCTCTTCTTCTCTCCTCTCCGTCGCCTGCGTCCGTCTCCCGCCAAAACCATAGTCCTTCCGTCACCACTATGGAAGCTACGAAATCCAACAGCCCTCATCAGCTTCCGTAGATCTTACTCAATGACACAATCAAAGAAATATTAAGGTAAGTTTCTAACCCTAGGTCATGCGTCACTGTTTACCTCTCTCCATAAACATATATTTTGCTGGAATTCGAAGGAATTTATGTGGATTTTTGTTTGATTTCGTGGGTTTGATTGGTTTCAGAAGGATTTTGAAGCAGGGTTTTTGTTTGGTTTCAGAAGATAACATCGGCTTCTTTTGAAATCCCATTTGAAATACCATTACTTGTCCTCGACACCTCGGGTTTCGGAATTTTTTTTTTTTTTGGGGGGGGGAGGGAATCGGAGAATATGGAGAAGAGTCGTAGAAGAGGAGGCATTAGAGGGATTGAAGAGAACACTTTAGCTATCCTCGACACCTCGGGGTTCAACAAGGCCTCTAAATACCTCGATGACGACAGTACTTATCTCTCTCTCTCTCTCTCTCTCTCTCCACACCCACACCCACACCCACACGGAATGCGTATATATTCGTATATTCAATTGCTTCGTTTCAGAGGTAGCATTTCTCGAAGCTGTTCGTTCTGCTTCTTTAGTTCCAGAAAATAGAAGTTCCCCAACCAAGTAATCTCTCTCTCTCTCTCTCTCACACGGACCCGCACACATACAAAAATGTATCTATTTGCATACGTTGTGCTGGTGTGCTATTTATTTTGGGAAGTTACTGCATACTATTGACATGTTGGAATTTTTTTTTCCTATTTTAAACAAGAAAAAACTATTATGTGCTGGTGTGCTGTTTATTTAGGTAATTTACTACCTACTAATTGAGAGTGTGTTTGTTTGTTCTTTCATATTTACAACAAGAAAAACTGAGTGTGTTGTTGCTATAATAGTTTATAGATTATTTAAAAATGCTACAGTTAGTTTGTCTTTGCAATCCCTACCCAAAAATTTTGGAGCATAAGGCTGTTATTGTTGACCTCTGTTTTCCTTGATTTAATCCTTATTGATCCACTTTAATGGACTTTTTAATGGATTTTTGCTGTGGTAGAATGCATGGACTAACAATTGCAAGGTCAGGAAGGCAGTCACTTTGAGAAAATAGTTCCAAAAACATTAGGTCTGCACTAATTTGTATCTTATTCAGTAACATGGCCTTTTTTTCCACTTTCCACTATTTGTTGATTTTATTCAGTTCACGTGTTTGTCATCTGCTAAGAGTTAAGGGCTGTGTTGGGATATTGATACGTGATATCTGTTTCTGTAGATTTTAGAAATTTCTTTAATGGGTAACTGATCTTACAACACCTTGCATCCGAGGATGTGCACTTTCCCTGTTACTAGGAGTTGTTCAGATTTCATTTGATAACTCAAAGCAATTAATGTTTGTTGGATCCTTGTTAGGTATGAATAAATATTCTATTTTTTTTGCTATAGCCCAAGCATCATGAGACCTTTAATCAATACTTTTTCTTTATGCATGATGGGAAGAATATGTTTATCTATAAGAAATTTGGTGAAAATGAAAACTTTTCACTTTTCAGCTCCTAATTTGTAGAACCAATGCTTCCATATTCTTTCCCTTCATGTTTTCTTTTCTTTTTCTTTTGTACTAATGATATTATCGATAGAAAAATTCCTTCTTCTCAGAGGATTCCCAAGTTTTGTTGGCCCACCATATCAATGCTTATTATTTATTTCTTCGTAGTTCTCTGATTATCCTAATGTGGTGGAACAGGAAAATGTTTCAGGCAATTTTCCAGATTTTGAAGGATGAGAAGTCGCTGGAATTGATAATGGCAAGCTATCAGCTATTAAACGAGTTATATAAGGTATTTGATTGCTCCTGTTTGACCTATTTTTCGTTTTCAACTAAAAGGTGCTCATATTTTTAGACTTTGCTTACAAATGAGTATCCTTCTACTTTTAGCATTTTCCTTGGGTGTATGTACCCAAAACGAAAAAATCAGAATCACCTCCGGCTTCAACAGAGCAGCTTGAACTTCTTGTGGTTGAAGAGGTACTTTTTCTACCTTTCCCCTCAGCTGTGCTATCTTATGAATTTTTGGTTGTATCTTAAAAGTTAGGTAAATGACCACACTTTGCTGCATGTCAGGCTTGGTCTCCATTTAATTTTGGAACAGATTATGCTTCTGGTGAAAAAGAGGAAGCCATTAAGAACTGTAGCGGATCACTTGATCCCTCTGTGAGTTGGATTTACCGTGCAGCTCTATTTTATAGTTCCCTTGATTTTGCATCTTATGGCAAAGAGAGAACTATTAACAGAGTACTTGAGTTGTATTCTAATTTGAGTGGGTAATTCCAGGAAATAGCATCCCATAATCTGAAGTTTCTGCCTTTAATGAAGCTTTTGTGCCAATTTCAGGGTTTTCATCTTCTGATACAAGATCTTGCTCAAGTAGCTGAGAAAGAAAAGTCTGAAGCACTAGCAACAAAGGTTACTTTCCTTTTTTTCCATGACTTATGATAATGTTAGCTGCTCATTCATGTATTTATCAAAAGGTATGGCTTATATCAACATAGTCCATGGCTTCATTGACATGAATCTAACTTCCTTGAACAAACTACAGTAGACGTGCTGATTAAAAAAAAGTAGACTCAATCTGTAAGCCTTGTGCCCCAATTTTGGGACCTCTTGACTAATTTTAGCAATAAACAGAAAGATGGTTCAAAACTCGATGTCAGACCTTGTTTGTAAAAGTTGCTTGTGCTGAATCAAGTGTCACCTTTTGGTCTAACAACATTCGGTTACTGTCAAAGCTTGTGGTCTGGGATCTATAGATTCATGGTACCTTCAATGGTCTTTGGCTGTCTCGCTTATCTACATTGATGCAAATAATTATGTTGTTGAAGAAGGTTAGAAGTGCAACCATCATATTGCAAGATGCTTTCTCTTGACCCTGGTGGAGGAAGAAAGGAGTGACATCTGTGATCAAATCGGGGCACTTTCAACAAGCAATGTTAAGGAGTCAACTAGTTTGATAGTAAGGGAGGCAGCAGGTATAAAATATTGCAGGAGGTTGCTAATATGATTTATCCTCATGTTTAGTGGCCTTACAGTTACCAGAAATATGTACATGGCAAGTTCATCGTAGGTGGAGATCTAACAATTAAAATGAAGAGATTACTTTACCTTCCTTAGGTTGAGCAGAATGTGTGGTAACGTGAAAAGGAAAATGGGATGAGCAGTATAGAGGCCGACTAACAGGAGGATCCTGGGCTCACACTTCATGAACTTAGAAGAATGACACTGACAATTCCCATAGGTCTTTTGTGAAGTGATATGAGTAGAGTAGCATCTTAGAGAGGATTTAGAATTTTTTGCTCTCAGATAGGCCAAATGGATGGTGTGTCGTTTGAGGAGCATAGACCTTAGAAAGGCTGTGCCTTTGTGCCCCTGCTTTCACAGGCTCTTGGAGCTTTCCTGGTGCGCAGCCTTGGCAGGTGGCAGCCAATTATACGGCCTCTGTTAGGAATGCCTTTTTCTCCAAAGTGTTATGGTAAATAAATCTTTTCTAAGTTTCAATCACGTTTTTGTAAGCATTGGGGTACTTATCCTTTATAATGATCGTTTACAATTCTTGAGTGAGATCAAAAACTAGGAATGTGTTACTGAATTTCTCTTACCATGTCACTTGATATACCTCGAGGTACCAAGTTTGATTTTACCGAGAGAATCATGAATTAGCGAGTCGAAGGTTTGCATGTCATTGTGTGAATCCCAAGTTTATGTTGTAGTCACAAGTCCGTAGTGTCTCGAGTTTGGACAGTTCTTCGTCATGAAATAACAAACTTATGACATGATAACAGTGAACATACAGGCATAAAAGGTATCTTATTTAAGTAAATGTAACTAAGGCTCAAGGATGTATTACTGTTGTGAAGACCTAAGATTGATCAGTTCATGCTTATACAGTGGAAATTATTGTACACACGAGTCCGTAGTGTCTCGAATTGGGACGGTTCTTGGTCATCAAATAACAAACTTATGACATGATAACAGTGAACATACAAGCATAAAAGGTATCTTATTTGAGTAAATGTAACGAAGGCTCAAGGATGTATTAATGTTGTGAACACCTAATATTGATTAGTTTGTGCTTATACAGTGGAAATTATTGTTCTTCACTTCTATTGCATTCTGAAAAATGGTGATTCACAAATCGTGCACCAACTTGAGGAGTGTTTTGATGAGGATGATTAGTTTCATTGCATATTTAGTCGCATGAAGTCATTATTTAACAACATTAATACATCCTTGGACATAAGTTGATTGTCTTAAGTACTAACAATCCAGCAACCACCTCTTGCCAAGAACCAGAGAAGAATAAACCGGCATAGTTATGCCAAAAGGAACTCTGTTTTCCTATGTTTTTTTTTTAATTAGGTCCTTACATTTTGTTCAACTGCTTTACTCATTCACTCTGTCCTTGCCATTTTCTACAATTTGTTATACACTGTGGCATTTTTGACTTGAGTAGCAGCATTTGATGTTCATGCTGCAATATGCGGTGGATTATGCCTTGGACTGGGGCTGCCTTGTTTGAGGATGATCAAACATTATAATTTTTAGTATTGGAACTGCTTTTCTGGATTTGTCATGTTAGTTAATAACTTAATCTGTGAAGTTCTTTTCTCAGTTTTTAATATTAGTTTTACTAAATTTGTGCATGAATCCCTGAACTTGTTATGAATCCTCATCTAGATTTTGTCGCAAAATTTGAAGCAGTTCAACCTCTCTGGTCATGGATTTCACTGTCTGGCCATTCTTTCAAGACTAATTGCAGAGTTGTTTGCATATACATGTCTGATTGATGGACTGTTCCGTATAGTGCTGATTTCTGGTGCTCATATGGATTTGTTAGTATTCTAAAGTTTCTATTGTTTATTCTTCAGTTATTCCCTCTTCAATGTTTCAAGTACCTGTTGATGGAGAAATTCTGAATTATATTCTTACTGCATTTCTTTCTGGTGCTTATATGGATTTGTTAGTAATTTAAAACTTTTATAGATTATGATTCACTCACTACCTCTTCATTGTGACTAGTACTTATTCATGGTGTAGTATCCAGACGTGAGAAATCCTGAATTATGTTTCTCTCATATCTATCAATTTCAATTGTTTGGATTTTGGATTTCTTGACCTAATTTTCTCTGTTGGTTGTAAAAGGACAAACTTTAGACATACACCACCATGTGATTGTGGACTATGTAACTAGCCATCATCCTGCTTATCCCTGCAAAACTTCTGCTTATTTTTTTGTATCTCTTCCGTAATTGATCCATGTGTTGACAAATGTTAGTTTCAATGTTGTCCTTTCTTAGTTTACCAAAATGACCATCTCGTCAAGGTATTTGTTTTGCATTCCAAGTGTCTGGTAGGTTGTGCCCATAAATGCCAAAGCATTTACCTTGTCTTGCATTAGTAAAACGTCAAATACTCAAAAATTCCTGCATGTTTTCAATTTCTTAAATGATTCATTGCATTGAGTTGAGTCGTATCCTATTGCAGTCGCTGAGGAACATGCTACTACTTCAGTATCTTGTCCATGTTCTTGAAGGAGACTTTTTACCTCGGAATCGTTTGTTTAATGGTAAACTGCTTCTAATAAGTTTTTGATGCTTTGTTTTTTTTTCTTAAGAAATGGATTTAATATGGTGCAGTTGCGCATTGCAACCAATCACAGCGTGCAATCACTGTCCACAGTGCTGGTGGTGGGACTGTGTTGGTTTGATGTTCGCACCTGTGATTGGTAGCACCAAATGGATGCGATTTAACACTGCCAAAGCTGACCCATTTTTTCTTGATTTGGTAAGTTTGTTTCACTACTTGATTAAGGGGTTTTTTTCACAGAAAACATGAACTGGACCCTTCTGAGGGAGTCATTGCTCAACATGCTTCTGGTATGCTTTTCAATTTTTAGCCAATAATTTTGACTGACATTTTATACTTCCATCATTGTAACTTGTCCAGGCAGTAATCTGCTACATCATTATTCCTCTGTTGTATGCAAACAATTTATCTCTTTCTATGTCTCTCTTGGCATGCCTCTCAAGGAGCATATTTCGTGTTAATTCACCAGGGTTCAAGAAAAATAATGTACAAGGGATTAATCAAGGATTGCCTATCAATTATCTGTGTAATTTCAAATGGTCATACAGAATTCAGTAATGGTAGGCGATATCAAGAAAATTCTTCTGCAGAACAATTGAAAAATTGTGACACTGCTGTTGCAATTGCTTTGCCTGAAGCAGAAAAGTGTACATGTAGTGCCTTGCAGAAACTCCTATTGATGGTATATTTATGACTGATCCTTTATTTGAGAATTACTTGAATCAACATCTTCATTAACTTTGATTTTCTATATCATTTAGATCATGGAGCTAGATAAATCCAAGAAGATTGCAGATATGCAAGGTCATACTAGCAGAGCTGATGGTGTGAGGTATTTGCTTGTTTTCTGGCTATAATAATTTCTTGTTTTCTTGCTATAATGTTTGCTTGTGTTCTTGCTATGATGGTGTGAAGTATTTGTGAGGTATATGCATTTATGAATGTTCTATTGGATTTGGTGCAGAATCCCAGTGGTAGAGATAATTCTAGATGAACTTGCTTACAATGAAGATATCATTTCCCCATTTTTTCTGGTAACCATTCTGGAGCTCTCTCGAGGCCCTCTTGGGTCAGTGTATGGACATATTAGCTAATATGCTAGCGTACCTGATGTTCTTCGAAGTTTCTTGCTGTGAATGTTATACTACATCAGTAATGTTATGCACAATTTTTTCTGCCTCATGATTATGGGAGGTTGGAGCAGTGTTATTTAAGGCGTAAAGCGAACCGAAGCAACCAAGGCTCCTAACGCCTAGGCGAGAAGCGAGAAGTGAAGCGACATGCTTTATCGAAGCAAAGCGAACAGTTAAAAAAATATATATTTTAGTTTAATTACTTCTAAACAATCTAAGTTCTAATTTTATATATACTAAATATTTAAATGCAAGTAAAACTATAAACATTTAAATTAAAATAAACACTAATAATATCTCAAATCTTAATAACAGTCATAACTTAAACATTTAAATTCAAACAAATACTAACAATTGTATATATTTTCATATTGATAGGGTAGGACAATAAAAGAAGCAGAATCAGGACAGCAGCAGAATCAGCAACAAAAAAAAAGAAGCAGAATGAGGAAAAAAAAAAACAGAAGCAGCACAGGACAGCAAAACCGAAGCAGCAACAGAATCAACAAAAAAAAAATAGAAACAGAATGAGCTAAAAAAAAAAAACAGAAGCACAATGATCATGACAAGAGCAGAATCAATTGTAAACAATTTCATATGTAATTATGTACTGAATAAAAAAAGCAGAACAGAGACACATTTTACATGTATTAAAATAATTAAATATGGTATAAGCATAAACCACTTTTTGGTACCATTTGTATATATATAAGAAAAGGGAAAAGTATAATCAAGACATATCAGAGACACATCTTTGTAGAAGACTCTATTATTTACCCCATTCCTGATACTCCTGCTTCCTTTCTTTATCATAATTTTGTTATGTAGTCGCTTGACTCCCACATTCCACAAATATTCTAAATAAATTCAACAACACAAGGAAAGAAAAAAAATGTGTTTTGTTCGAAACATTGTTTATTAGAAAAAAAAAATTAGACCAGCGATAATCTAAAAAAAAAGTCATTAGTGATTAAAAAATAAAAGAGACTACTAACCTGTAATCAAAAAAAAAAAAAAAAAGGGAAGCAGAATCGCCTCTAATAATAAAGCGTTCGCTTTTTTTCGCTTCGCTCACGTTCCTCCAGGCGAGATAAGCTCGCCTTGCTTCTCGCTTCTCGCCTAGACGAGCTTTTCAAAACACTGGGCTGGAGAACTATTTCAGCAAAACCTATTACGATCTTACTTTTACGTTTGGAAATGTTTGTGGTGGCATGTATAACCTATCTCCATGGTATGTGGAAAGGTTGTTTATGTTATTTAGGATTTACTTTTACCAATCCAGAGGATTTTTTGTAGGTCTTTGATGAACCTAAATGGAAGCTGGAAATAATTGTGCAGTATTTCCAGAAGTACATTGCTAAAGTAAGTTGATTCTTTTATCTTCGTGAGGAATTTATTTAATTGTATTGCATTCCACAGAAGTCCATCAATTCTGTTGTCCCAGTAGCATTTTCTCTGCAAAGTTTATCCCTTATTTCCTAACTCCACAAATTTCTTATCTCTATACTAAGCTTTACCTCTTGTTTATTTTGTTTGGGCTCGGTAAGTTGGAGTTTTATAGAACAAAAGAACATAGGCGCCTGCCCAACCCCAACAAAAACTCTATTGGAGGGTAAGTCAGGAGCAAACCCAAAAACACCATTGAACAAGTGCAACATGAACAACCATCATACTACACTTCTCTGCCCAATCCAACCTAAGTTCTGGTAGGAACACCGCATTTAACAGAGAGCTCCAATTGCAGCAATGTACTTTTGTCTTGATCCTTATTCTCAGATATTTGGTAAATTGTCTCGATTAAACTGCCACTCTTGAAGTAATCCACGAAATACAAATGGTCTATCACTTTTGGGGGGCAACAAATTTTGAAATTCAGCTTTAAGATGTAATGGCTCTGGCAAATCCGTTAATACTATATCCCACACTCGATGACAATTCAAAAAATTATACAAATGCTAAAACTTGGGGCCCTTTTTTGGCTGCATTTGGAATGTATACAGTTAAGAAACTTTGAAGAAATGTATCTGGAAGATGACGTCTGCTATGAAAATAATTATAATCTTTATTTGCTGGTGTGTGCTCGTGTGGAGAAGTGTTTTTGGCATGTATTATTGACTTACACTGAAGTAAACAGATAGAAGTTTTGTAGGATGGTTAAGGCCAGCAGGCTTGGCTGTAAAAAGAGTACAATCAAAGTGAGGATGCTAGATAGATGTGTGGTAAGATAAGGAAATATACATTTCTCAGGTAGAAGTTGCACCAACCCAACATTAGTAGATTGTTGTAGAAGTGGCACCAACTGAAGATAAGTAGATTGTTTAGGTATTTATAGTTGAGACCAATAAATACACGTGTTCAGAAAAATGACATGGAGTAGGGTAAATCAAAACCAACATGGACTAGGGTAGTCAAAATATATGTGGCAGATCGCAAATTATCATAACATTGGGACTTTGGCAAAATTGAATGGTAAAACAGGATTCATGTAGTTAGCCCCAAATTATTGGGACAAGGTTTTTTGAGTTGTGGTTTGGTGTATTTAGACCAGTTGCATTCATTGTCACCTTTCATACTTACTGATATGGTAGAGCAGCTTTTTGCCAAAGTTCCTGGTCTATTCCATCTGGAGGAGGGTTGCGCACACACACATACATTTATAAGGGAGGTAGTGCCATATGCCTCCCATTTTGTTTATAAGAAATATAATTTCTGGGACATGATGTCATGGAAGATCTTTCATCATTAATATCAGCTGAAAAGAAAGGTTTTCTGCTGAACTGGGACACCAAAGAATTTCATTCATTGCTTTTCATGAATCAATTACTCCTATAAGGAAGGTTGGGAAGATTCCAAGGTCCACTTCTTTCTTTTAACAGTCACACAGGAGGCAACTTGTGTCCGGGCAATGCCCCTAAAGGTGTAGAGGTTGCTTGCTGGAAAAAAAAAGCAGAAGACATTAAGGGTCTGCTAAAGTAGAGCATGGAAAAATGTGAATATCAGATCCTTCAACACATTCTTGTTTGTTGTAGGCCTTGTGGCACATACCTTCTACACTTATTCATTTGGTTAATTAGTTAATGTTTTCCATATTCGTGGGCAAAACATTCATCTAAGGTTGCATTTTCATAACCAACAGCTGTGTACCCAGATCTGACTAAGGAGCATAATAAAACAAAGTCGTCTCTTAAAGGGGTTCAATTCACTTTTGGCATTTGGAAATTTCTGGGTGCAGAAACATTGGTGAAAGAGGCATTCAAGTATCTTGTTGCTACAAATGCTCTTGCTTTGAACTCCATACTATTTAACTTTCTTATGTGTGTTACAGTCTCGCAGAACCTAATCACCTCAGAAAAATGTTGTGTTTTTAAGAGTTTCAAGAACTAATCAGTACAGATTGCTCTCTTGATCTTGCTAAATACAAAAAAAAGTGCCGTACAATAAAGGAGTAGAGTCCTTTGGGGCATTCAAATAAACACCTTTGCTTTCAACTATTGGAATATTTCACTTGGTCAATGTACCGCTTAGCCTGGTTAATTGTGGATTTTTTGCAAGTTTATTGGTATCAAACACTTGAGAAGAGGACCTAAATATGTGACAGTTTTCTCTTTTATGTGATATTTGTTCCATCCATTCCTAAGTAGCCATCTATCTCGCCTATTCTGTTCATGGGCTGTTTCTTGTTTCTAACTTGCTAATGTAAGCCTATTTGTGAATATTTGTACTGCCAACCTTTGCCTTTCAGATAACTTCCTATTTATATCTTCAAACCCTATTTTTCAGCCTTCTGTTCGAACTCGGAGGTCAAATGGTGGAACTGATGATGCAACATTTGATGGAATTCTGAAGTGCTTGTCAAATATCAACAGCACAAAAAGTATCATAAAGAAAATTAGCATAGGAGTTGTTCAACTGCTTTTATCACATGCCTTTCAGGTGATTGTTTAGTATAGATGGTGATCAATTGCATATCGGAATGTGTGGTGACTTTTCCCCCCTATAAAACAAGATGTGAACAAATATTTATGAACCTGTTTGCTTGATGAAACCTAGCACAACCCACCCACTCTGCCCCAACCCACCCACTCTGCCCCAACCCACCCATAAGAAAAAAAAAAGGGGGGGGGGAAGGAAATGAGAAACCAAAAATATCAAAAAGACGTCTTTGTATTCACTTTACACCATAGTACTCTTCTAACACTAACTTGGTTGGGGATTACATTGCTGTTTCAGGCTTATTTGTCATTATCATCTCAGCATTCAGTCAAAGACATCTCTGATTCCAAGGGAGATGTCAAAGGCAGCTCTCTTGTGGATATTTGCAACAATATGATATCCGCTTTTACCTGTCTTAGGAGAACGGACGAGTAAGATTCATCAAAATTTCATGATAGTATGGATGGCACTTATGTTTGATCTTTACAGAATGTCTCGCATTTTCCAATACTTAACCTATAACAACAATAGTACCCTACCTAACTTGTTCCTATAAGACGATTTTAATGAACCACAAAAGCACTCAATATGAGGCACCCCCATTGACTTAACTATAGAGTTAGAAGATTTTTCCTGATTGCATATGGAGCAGCTTCCTTTAATTACTAGTGATATTATGCCAGTCACTTATTTCGTATGCTTTTCCTTATGATAACAATTATGTTCATAAAGTAATGTTGAAGGTCTTGGAAGAAAGACTTCATTAACTCTGAATGGGGGGAATTAGGAATCACGTAAAGTAATGTTGAGTCAATGATGAGTGATAGCATCAGTAGCTGCTGGTGAGACATGAAATATTTCCTATTTTAGCAAAATTAAACAATGCAATTTTTATGTTACTGGGAAGCATCTCTGAACTAGATAATCATTGCCGTAACAGGTGGATGGAGGTAGAGAACACTCAACATTTTACGTAAATATTTATCTTCATCACCACGACTTATGCTTTTTCTCTCTCTTTTGTTCAATTGTAAGGTGATCATCTGTCATGGTGCAGGCACACAGAGATTTTACCTTTTGGAAAAGAAGCATTGTTCACCGCAGCAACAATCCTCGCAACGAAGTCATAGCAAGCTCAGAATCAGTTAAATTGAGAAGTATATAATTATCAATGCCTTTATGCCATGTAAAAAGATAAGTGTAAGTAAAGAATGGACCAAGCTCTGCAAAAGCTTGGTACCCTTGTGCTTTTGCTCTTTTTCATGCCACTGAAGTTGGGCATTTCTGTATTTGTCCAGACAAGGATTGGCTTTGCCTTATTTGTTCATGTCAGTTATTTGCAATTGAATGTGGTAGAACTAACGATGTGTGGAAGAAAATGGATTCTTCGACCTAAAACAAATTACAATGACTGGGGCTAGGGTTTCTCCCATCGCATCTCCCAAACTGGATTTTTATGGAAGAGATGAGGGAAACAGGGTCTCCAGCAGATTCAGATGTGAAAATTTTGAGAGATAAAAGGTTCAATGGAGCATGGACTGATGACTGTAAGACTATGTCAGTTTTTAACATTCCCAGTCTTGTTTGGTCAATAATGGGTTGAATAATGAAGCCATAGCAATATTATTCATTTCGGTTTTTGCATCATGATCCACCTAATATGGTTTTTGTGATTGGCATATTGTTTTTGAGAATATATGGGTGGTGTTGGATTGGAGGAATGTTGAACGCGTTGTAGATGGGCATTGGCTCCGGTTAAATTCTGAAAGATACAATGCAGTTTGAAGCAGTTCTTCAAATTCCATGGCCCCCTATTGCCCTAATTATCACTTTTGATGATGTTCGGCAACCAGTTCAGTTACAATCCACTTCAAACAGTCTTAAAACCACAAAAAAAGGTCTTGGGATTCCTAGGAATAATGCATGAAATGAAGCACAAAGTGCACAATGCAACTCCCTAATACTTTGTTGGCACTAGTTTGAATAAATGGCAGCCTTTTTCGGTCTCTAATGGCATTGAACAGCCTGATGTCAAAGTTAAATTCCCTATTGTTTCACACCATCGCCTTTCTTTCATAGTAGTGACTAGTAAGGTTCTATTTCCTCTTTCACCCAACTAGTTTCTACTTTCAGGTACTCTTCGAGTTCATGCACGATCCAACTCCCTCCGAAAATCAGTTTTCCTGATTTTGAAAGTGCAGCACACAGATACACACACACACTCTTTGATGGTTCCACTGAACCACAAATATTGATATTTATAAGTAGTATAGATATAGATATAGACAAACATGATTTAAAACCATACAAAAGGGGTTTCAAAGGAAACACTGAGAATGGTATCAATCAAATTAGACAAATCAACAAGAGCAGTCTCAAAGGTTATTAAAATCAAAAAGGTCCTTGGGCATTCCCAAAGAATGTTTTTGAAGAGAACAGCCTCACATCGAGTACTTTTGGGTACCCCCCCCAAAAAAAAAAAAAAAAAAAAAAAAAAAAAAAAACCACCACCAAGTCATACAGGATATTTTGGTTTACCAAGAGATTCAGGATACTTGGATCCCCCCTTCTTTGCTAAATCAGCCAACTCGAGTCACACACCATTCAGAGTTAACCATTTTGCCCTTCATGGTGCTTCTGCTGCATCACTTGTATTCCTGGAGTGGTGCAATAAGTTGGTTTGTCCTATAACAGTCTTAATTCAACCACGGAGACATAACATGGGAAAATGGAGAGATTGTGAACTGTCAAGCACTGGCCGAGTTCACTGCACTCACCTGGACGGTTGTGAGGAGTCAAGCTGCATCGTAACTGGACCATCATTGACCAAATTGACCTTTGCACAACAGAAAAACACAGTAAGAGTTATGCCCCTCTCCTGTCCTAAATTTTTGTAGTAACAACCATGCAAGAACCAAAAGCTGAGGGGAACCTCACCTTCATCATTGCTCCAAATATACCATCTAAGGGACACAATGAAAAGCAAAAAAGAGGAAATCAATACAATGTTTATAAGACATTTCTCTAGAGCACTGATTGCAAGAAAGAGGCAAAATATGGAGACATCTGATAACTGCATTGGATTAAACTTCATTCATTATGGACAAACATAAATGTTGGATATGTGTCAGAACCTAATTCTCACATATACGATGATTACTTAAGGATCGATAAGTTTATGTGTCTTCTACCAGATTCTACATGCATAGATAGGGATTCCCGTGAATTTTGTTTTTCAAATTACAAGTATCAATGTTGCATGATTTTTTTAGAACAGCACACTCAAAACAATTTTTTTAGACTTCTTCACCAAGAATTTAGAAAATTGATGTTTTACGCCTATAGCTGTTAATGCAACTAAAATGTAGGACAGACCTCATCACTTGTGTGATAAATCTGTTTTCCTACAATTTATAATTTGGCACACTCCAATGATCTCATGTAAAATCTGCCTCAACGTTACAAGTAGGGCTCAAGTTTTCTCAATAACTATATCAATTGTGTTGGATGCTTCATGACCAGTGCTTTCCCACGGAATAAATCACTCCAACAGGACATCCACTTCTAGTTTTGTAGCCCCATGGATACAGAGCTAACTCTTACAACATGACTTCTGGATATCAGAATTTCAGGTCCCACCAATACTTTTAGGCTTGGCATATTAAGGGACCTGTGCATAACAAACAGGCCAACCCCCCCTCCCCTCCTCCAAAAAAAAAAAAACCCACCTGATACAAAAAAACACTCTCATCCCATGAACATAAAACAATGATAATAAACTAAGTGATTTACACTTATTCCAAAATCCAATCACATTTGCAAATCTAGACAGGACTGAGAGCCACAGTGTGGAGAGTTAACCAATTCTAAGAATCAAAATTTTTGCCACCGAGGTTTTTTAAGAACCTAAATAATAGCTATCTATTATGTGTGAGGCTGTGGCATCGACAAAGACAACAATGCTATATAACTTTTAGCAGCTACTTTAATAGGTTCTTAGAATCAGATAAACAGAAGGGACTCTAGACTGAACACCAACTTAACAGCAGGTAATATTTTAAGGAGAAATGCATTTAAAAATGGGAAACATTTAAAATACCTGCAATGCCGACTATTCAGCATGCAGTATTTTGCAAAGTAACAGTAAAAAATACTTTCACATTTAACATTTTTTTTTCAAGTAAATTTACTTTCTATAGGCAGATTATGTAGGGCTATTAAAGAATGCTTTGTCAATATTCTACTGGTTTTGCAGCCCAAATAACATTCTGAAACTATTAGTAACAAATTGGCAATTGCTTTTCCTGTTGTTAGTGTTAATCTGTGATCCAAAAAACAACCAGTTTCTTTTAAATGTTGCTGATATTTTGTATAAAATAACAGCGGCAATGATAACAAGAGATACATGCTGAAGAACAAGAAAATAGGCACGTACACAACANACCAGTTTCTTTTAAATGTTGCTGATATTTTGTATAAAATAACAGCGGCAATGATATCAAGAGATACATGCTGAAGAACAAGAAAATAGGCACGTACACAAAACGAAAGCAAATTTACCTTTCACTGCATCAGGTTTGTAAGATTTGTGGAACTTTTCAACCACAGAAGCATAGAAAGGCTTTGCTTTCTCGGGTGGCATCGCCACATGAAAATCCGGCTTGTTACCCTTCAAAATCCCATACAATGTAAACTGACTCACTGCACCACCCAAAAATCATCAAAAGTATGCTTTGCCACTCTTTCTTCAACCCATTACGTATCACATCATTTCCCAACAATACATAGCATTAAAATGTAGAAATAAATAGAATTATAAACCAAAGTACCTAAAAGAACTTCATAATTCATCTGCATGACCTGCCAATACATATAAAATCATATAAAAATGTACTAATCAGCAATGATATGTCAACATTAACTTTTAGGATCCAGATTCTCTCAGATTCCAAATTTCATCAGCTTTGGCTAAGTTCAACCATCAACTATTAAATTCACGATACAACAATGGTGGAAGCCATTTAAGTGCAATTCTAGGAGAAAATATTCAATGTAACGGTGATATTAGTGTCACATGTTGTACTAATAATTGAGCCAAACTTTGTGAGTTCAAGTCGAGTTCGTTTTTTTTTAAACGAGTTTAAAAAATTGTTCAAGTTTCCCTCGTTTGAAAAATGAGTCAAGTAAGGGCCGAACCCAAAATAAGCCGAACCCGCGTCGAACCTGAGTAGCTCACGTATTTTACATATAAACAAACCAAACTCTACTAGCTCAAGCATAGTCTTTTAGGTTCCTTTTCTAAATGGGGTTAAAAAATTGTTCAACCTCGAGTTCTATATGAGCAAAGTAGTTCGGCTCCATTATCAACCCTAGTCACGTGATGCCACAAACCAATAATGAATAAACATGCAGAACCAGTGATTCTTGTCCAATTCTATAATCATCAATAACTTTTGCCCTACTTGTTTACTTATTATCCGTCGGTGAAACCACGTAATGAAAATGACGTAGCGTAAATGTTACATTGAATAAATTAAATTTAGTGCATACCTCTAAATTTGATGAAGAATGATAAAATTGGAAATAATGAAACGTTTACATATACACCCGCAAATAGACAAGGAAGAGTGAAAATTACATTTTGGTCCCATGTTTTCCCAGTCTTTTCATTTGGGAATAATCTCATGCTCAACACTTTCCTACATCTGCCAAATACCAATAAATATAATAATAATAAAAAAAAAATTGTAATTTGTAGGGGACAAAAAAAAGAATCAGAGGAGAGAAATGAGTAATTTCACACATGTAGTCGGCGTCAGAGTTAACATCCGCATCATGAAGTCCGACGAGGACCAGCAGGCCCGGCCCAATTGCCGATACGATGCTACCTTCCACCTGCAATTCGCTATCTTGCTCAGGTGAACAGGATAACACAACAAAAGGGGAGAGAGAGAGAGAGTATTTCCTTCACTGACCTCGACGCTGGCAGAGGCCACACGCTGAACAACGGCCCTCATTGCTTTCACTTTTGGATTCTGCCGTTTTCTCGGCAGCCAAACAGAACTCGTGCGCTTAGAGCGTAGAAAAGGAATATTACAGAGGAGCCCACACCTATGTTGTAAAAAATTGGGGTTTGTTTGGCTTTGTGATAATGTATGCTCGGATCTTGGAGAAGGAGGATTTCCCAAGGCGGATAAAGGTAAACGTGAGGAGTGGAATCCCATTTGGAGTTTGGATTGAGTAGTCCCTCTTCTGAACGATGCTATTCTACACCCGAATTGTGTAAGAGGAAATTGGTTTGTGGGTGTTTGGGAATCTTCATATTTGGTCTAATAAGTCTGCTGCATACATGTGTTTGGTACCCACGTCGGATAGTCTTGGGCGTGTGTGTGTATTTTTATATGGATTTTGCAACCTTACTTTACTTTTAAGGTGTTGGTTGGAGATGTTCTCTGTTCAAAACAATTATGTGTGTTATAAGGTGCTCGTTTGTGGGCTCTGCTAACCTCCTTCTTTGGGCTTGACCATAGGTCGAGTGAGGTTTTAGGACCTAGTTGGATAGGGCAAGGGCTATCCCAAATCGGATAGCCTTAGGGTGTGTGTTTATGTTTATATGGATGTCGTAGCCTTTACCTTTAAAATGTTGGTTGTAGTTGTCCTCTGTTCCAAAAAAAAAAAAAAATGTGTTTGGTAATACAGATTAAACCATCTTGGAGTTCGCCAAACACTAATCACAATTTTATTTTGTCCCTTGAACTGTGATATTTCACATCGTCCCATCAATTACTTGAATTGATTTTATATTTCATTATCTTTAAGATAAAAATTATCAATGTGTCCAGGACAAAGTGAAACAAAACACATGGTTCCGCGCAGCGGGGTTCAAATGAAACATCTTTTAGTCATATGTGCAATGGACATTAATAATTAGAATAATTTGAAACTAATTACAAAGTCGAAAGATACGATATAAAAAACATGATAGTTGAGGAAGTAATAAAAGAAAAGGGTCATAGTTGAGGGAGTTAAAGTGAAATTTTTCTTAAAATCAATTGTTTTTTAGTATAGTATAGGGTGTAGCATAAGAACTATTTCATAAAAATGTTTGTTTAAAATTCCTTTTCATTCTCACACCATTAACAAAAGCCTCATCAAAGCAATCCCAAAAAAAGAATCAAAGAACCCAATACCTGTAAGACAAAAAACAAACCATCACAAACAAACAAAAAAACATTTAAAAAAAATAGAAAACATAATCATCATGGATGGAAGCTACAATCTTTCCTTCTCTCTCCATGTTTCCCTCCACTCTTCACACCTATGTATCCCATTTTTTCCATTGCTGCTGCAAATGCTTGAAAAAACTTCTGCTTGTCCTTTGCTAGAGCTTGAACCAATGGCCTAGTTCTTGGGTCCAAAAACAAACCTTGGTCAGAGGACAACAATCCCAATTTGGCCTCCAAATTGCTATAATATGCATTGTCAAATGAGAAGGGGGTTGTTACATCAAACGGTGCTACAACGTCAGCATTGCCTCCAGATTTCGGGCATGACATTTTGAGGGCCTTTAAGAGCCTAGGATCAATGGCGGGGTTGGGTTTCTTCAAGCCCTGATAGTCGTAGAGACGATTTAAGAAGTGTTTACAGTGAGAGAAACCAATGGTATGTGCACCTGATAGGACAACTAAGTCATCAAGTGTTAGCCCTTTAGAAGCAAAGAGCTTGAGGAGTTCATCAATGGTGGAATTTGCTTGTGGAAGATTGGAATGCACCATGGATGCCATTGATGTTCTTCCATCCCACCTGCCTTTTTTTACGGGATAATAAGGCCCCCCTGCCTGCACCATGTGTCAAAAAAGAAAGAAGAAAGAAGAAAAATGAAAATAAAGAACTAAATTTTTGGATCTTTTTTTTCTTTTGGTTCAATAGTCATGGGTGTTCGAACTAGTTTACGCACACCTTTGGTCAAAATCAGGCAATTTACGTCAAGACTAGGATATTCATGAGGGATAAATATCTCATAACCTCTCGTGGCCTGAACTCAATGGATTGTAAAGATTCAAATTTAAGATGTTTAAATTTACAACTCGANCCAATGGTTGAATGGGCAAAGTAAGCCCACAACTGCTATAAATTTTTCCTTGTAATCTACTTTGTGTCTAACAGTACAAGTCCATTGTCCTCATTCTGCAGCTAAATCAGTAATTATAACAAGGAAGACTGAACACATGTAAAATAAAATATTCTTTCATGTCATTGTGTATTTGGAACATAGTGTAAACTATGACCATTTTCTACCAATTTTTTCTCAAGGAAATATTATATTTTGACCCCTTCAACTACTACACTAATCTCACTTTTCCTACTCCAATATTGAGTTTCTCATAGTACCCCTAAACTACTTGAATTGGTTTCACCTTCCCGAAAATCAAATATTAGACGTATTGTGGCCTGAAAATGTTGAAATATAAGTAACATACACATTTTCAATTTCTATAATTAGGACAATGCAAAATCAATAACTATAGAGTAGAATGTAAGAAACGTGATAGTTGAGTGGGTCATGTGAAACTAATAACTCTAGTTGAATGTAGAATGTGAGAAATGCCATAGTTGAGGAGGCAACGTGAAACAAAACGAAGAGTTGAGAGATTGAAAGTATATACCACTCTTTAATGAATAAAAAACCATCCCATCTTCATGAACTAAATTTTTGGATCTTTTTTTTCTTTTGCTTCAATAGTCATGGATGTTCGAACTAGTTTACGCACACCTTAATTAATCCTCTCTTCGGTTTGGTCAAAATCAGGCAATTTACGTCAAGACTAGGATATTCATGAGGAATAAATATCTCATAACCTCTCGTGGCCTGAACTCAATAGATTGTAAAGATTCAAATTTAAGATGTTTAAATTTATAACTCATCTTTGTTACCATTTCAACTATTCTTTTAAATTTATTAAATTTTTAGATCTGTCTCATAAAGATATTTATTTCTTGATGTGACCCACGTCACCTTGGACATGAAAAATAAGAACCAAGTATAGGGAAATTAGGGAAGCCACTTACCAAGTGGACAAAATCTCTAGCTGCAATTGCAAGAATGTCTGCACAAGATACAACACCAGGGCACTTGCTCTCCACCAATGCCTTGGCCATTTTTATGCTATCAAACGCCTCCTCTCCTAGGTCCTTGTTATCCTCCGCATCCCTCTCGGCCAAATCATTGCTTCCTGGTCTAGTTGATATCAATATTGACCCATCACACCCCTATCACAAACACCAAAATCCACAAGAAAATAAATAAATAAATAAATAAATAAGAACTTAAGTTGTGCCACTTTTTGAGCTAAGCAAGTGCAAATCTTATACTTATCATAATGACTACGAACTCTGAATGTTATTTCTCTTGCTCTAATATCATGCCAAAAATAATTATCAATAGGTGGATATAAATGCATACTAGGCTCATTTACTAGTTTGAGCAATTATATCGATGTCAGACAACTTCTAACATTCTTTTATACGTATAATCTTAGTTGTGTGCGTGTATTATATGTGGACAAGTTGAAAAAAGATACGAAAGATATGATCAAAATATTATAAAACTCTCATATAAAATACGGATATTGAAGTCTACTATATTAAAAGCATACAACTCAAAAAAAAAAACTCACAAAACTTAGAAGGTACAATTTTATCAATTTGGGACTTATGAAAAGGTCGACAGGCATTGTCTGCTAAAATGCATTAACGTTGCCCGTGAGAGTACTATCAGCATCCAAAGGACAAGACTATGGTACCTCTGCGATACAATGTTGAAAAATGATTCAAATCCTTGATTTTGAGTTAGATAATCTATAGCCATTAATTGAACAAATGCAAAAATAATAAAAAATAATGAAATAAAAAAAGCATACGAAGCGCGTTGTCATTGGCTGAAAAGTCGAGGTATAGAAAACAACAACACTACTCCCAAAAGGGTACTGTGCTGGTGTGTTAAACCGGTACCTACTATGGGTCCGCCACCCCGTTCTTGCTTTTCATACTTTAGTCACCATTTTTTCTTAGAGAATATGTTTTAATCTAATTCTGAGTTATTCAGAAGTTAAAAAGGAGTAATAGGCATAAACTTAAGAGTAATGCTATGCTGACCAAAATTTGAGATTAAATTTAGAACCCAAACTACATGACAGTTGACTTGGGCTTGTTTGATTAGTGTCATGTCATTTGAATCGTAATAAAAATTTCAAATAATCAACTGCCATGTCATTTAGACTCAAAATTTTGGTCAGTCTAACATTATTGTAAACTTAAACACCGTCACAAAAAAAAAAAACCAACCAAAACCAGTACTGAACTCTGGCAACTGATCCTAACTGTAACAATTGTCACAAGCATACTATGCTAAAATGCATCGGTGACCGGTGTACTATAGCAGCGCATTTGTAATCTCCATATAATACGAAAAAAACCAGTGAATTCGGAGGATTACTTGAACAAAACAGTCATGGAAGAAGAGGCGAATGGTGGCCGGACCAGAGACAGGCGCTTCTTTGAACAGTTGGGCGGTGACAGAGGAAACGAGCAGTTCGAGCTGAGGGCAAGTCTTGGCGTAGTAGTCCACAGAGAGCTGGCGAGGAAGGCGAGTGGTGTTGGTGGTGGACTGGAGGAAATAGGCTGAGGTGCGTAGGGTAACAAGGAGAATGAGCAAAGAAGAGAAAATAGAAGAAAAAAAGAGTGTCATGGTTGGTTATAGAGACTAGTTTTGGACAATGTAGCAATGGTACTAGAAGAGTATGCAAGTGTGAAGAGTGAATGAAGAATACCCGTGAAGACAAAATTATAATAAAGCTCTGTGTGTGTGTGTGAGAGAGAGAGAGAGAGAACAAAAACTTATTAAGTGGTTGGAAGAAAAATATGACCAAAAAGAACCCACTGGGGACATTTGAGACAGCANGAGAGAGAGAGAGAGAACAAAAACTTATTAAGTGGTTGGAAGAAAAATATGACCAAAAAGAACCCACTGGGGACATTTGAGACAGCAATTTGTAGCAGAGTCAAATTAGAATCTGACAGTTTTCATTGAGAATCAGTGTTTGTCATAGTTGTTTGATTGTAGACTGCCTACCATACTCGTTTTAATGTCAATTAGGCTTGATGGCTTCTTGATATTTCTTTCATGTTTCGTTATATTTTGTCCCAAATTGTATTCGGTGAACAAAACTTTCCTCTGTAATGAATTTATAATAAGTGTACGATAACGCTAATTATATTTTGTGTTGATACTTGAATTAGAATCTAAAATATATGGTGTTGAAGGATGNCTCTGTAATGAATTTATAATAAGTGTACGATAACGCTAATTATATTTTGTGTTGATACTTGAATTAGAATCTAAAATATATGGTGTTGAAGGATGAACACTAATTATTGCTTATTACCAAATAGGGGTAATGTTACAATTCAATTTATTGAGTTTTTAATAAAATCTGGTCATTTAGGATTGATGCTAACAATGGGTCTGTTTGGAAATGGCTTAAAACCTCAATTTTTTTTTGGTTTTGGAGGAAAAGAAGTTTGGTCCGTTTGAACTTAGGTTTATTGAACGATTTTTTCTTTAGCTTTTTGAGCAAAACCAGCTTTTATAAGCACCAAGGAAAAGCTAAAAAATAGAGTTTATTTATCTAAAGGCTTCCAAAGAAAAGTCGACTTTTTCAAAAACACTCCAAATAANAAAGCTGAAAAATAGAGTTTATCTATCTAAAGGCTTCCAAAGAAAAGTCGACTTATTCAAAAACACTCCAAATGATTCAAATAGTTTTTTCTAACTCTAACTTTTTCATTTTATTTTTCAAACCTTGGTTTCGCACTCAAAAAAGTTAGCTCTAAATGGGTCTAAAGTTAGAGCACCTTTATTCTTGTATTAAGTAATGAATGTAAAAATTTACGACAAATCGTGTCCTTCAATTCACATGTTGCTTTCTACCACCACATCATTTCAAACGAAATTTTTTGAAGATGGATGGCTTACATTGATCTGTATAGCATATAAAGGACTTGTGATTGTTTAATCTAATTGCATAATGGGGCAAAATAAAAAAAAAAACAAAGTGCTGGGCTATACTATATTAGAAAGAGTGTGCAGAGGCTATGGTAGATAGAGTGAGAACCCACTTGCCACCCTTAAATGCAGAGCATGTGCAAGTGAATTGGGACTTTACCAGTTCATAAGAAACATTTTAGATTAATTTTGGCCATTCATCAATGTTTCTCACAGTCACAGTGCCTCAGATCAGCAGAACATTCATTTGCCTTTTACAGTTTCTGTTCTATTAATAATTAAATGGAGTGAGCTTTTTTGTTGNACAGTGCCTCAGATCAGCAGAACATTCATTTGCCTTTTACAGTTTCTGTTCTATTAATAATTAAATGGAGTGAGCTTTTTTGTTGTGAGCAGAGTAAAAGATGTGGGCCCATATTGCTTCATTTATAACTTCAATTGGAACATCCAGACTTATGTGGACCTGAAAAACATAAGAATAAAATTATGTTTTTTTTAATTTATTTATTAAATATTGTATTTTAAATAATGTTTAAAATCCTATACATTAAATATTTCTTCTAATCAAATCACTCACACTAATTTATAAAATAAAATTTAATAAACAGAACATTATTTTATACAAAAATAGAGGTGAGAGCGACCCATAACCTAAATATTTGTTTTGAATTTGAAGTGGGTTTCCACTTTCAATGATAATCAATGTTGACTTCTTCTAGGGACATCTGGCCAAATGCTTTCAATTTTTTTTTTTGGATTAATTATAAATTATTTTTGAATTTTAATTTGCACCCTCAAAAATATAAATTTGTATTAATATGTACCCCCAAAGATCAAAAATCTCAATTTGTATCCTCAAAGATAAAAATTTGTATCAATGTACACTTAAAATTAACCGCCTTCAATTTGCTGACTAAAACTAAATTGATAAATTATACCTAAATTCCTTCATACTTGTCACTTAATCATTTGGATCCCTCACATTTAGAATATTACTCCTNTTAAATTAATAAATTATACCTAAATTCCTTCATACTTGTCACTTAATCATTTGGATCCCTCACATTTAGAATATTACTCCTACATCTCATGATGTTTGTGCACGTGTAACACGTAACTAATTTTCATCGATATCTGTTAATATAACTGCTAAAAAATATAATTTTATTTTAATAAAAATTATAATTTTATATTACCTTTTATTTTGTGGATCCGATATACTCTACAGTTCAAAATCAAACTTATCATTTGAATGTCTAATAGAATGTAGGTATTTATATAATATTTTTTATATCCAATATAATATATCACTCAATGTGCAACCCTTTATTCTATTGGACATTTAAATGGTAAATTTGATTTTAAATTTTAGAGTATATTGGACCCACAAAATAAAAGGTAATATAAAATTATAATTTTTTATTAAGATAAAATTATATTTTTGAATGGTTATATTAATAAATATTCACGAAAAAGGGTTACGTGTTACACGTGCACAAACGTCATGAGATGTAGGAGTAATATTCTAAATGTGAAGGGTTCCAAATGATTAAGTGACAAGTATGAGGTGATCTAGGTATAATTTATCAATTTAGTTTTAGACAACAAATTGACGATCGTTATTTTTAGGTGTATATTAATATAAATTTCTATTTTTGAGGGTGTAAATTGAAATTTTTAATCTTTAGGGGTGCACATTAATACAAATTTATATATTTGAGGGTATAAATTAAAATTTTTTATCTTTAAGGATACAAATTAAAATTTAAACGATCTTTTGACGTATAATTTACAACTAACCCTTCTTTTTTTTTATTCTTTTTTAAAGATGTTATTTGAAAGTTGTTTACTTTAGTAATTATATAAAAATCTATTTAATATTTTAAAAATTAAAATAATATAATTAAAATATTAAAAATTAAAATGAGACCAACCTTATATTTTTATATTTTACTGTTTTCCCTTTTTATTATTATGTAAATATTTTTACTGGAATCAAACGTCGACAAAATTAACGTTTTACGTTGAAGATAACGGAGCTTAGGAAAAGGAGATTACCTTCGTTACGACGTCGGTTGCTCTCTCTGCATTCCGGCTACTCCTGTACTCCGGCGGTCAAAGTTCCGGCGTCTTGTCTTGGTAATTGACCTCGTCCATGGAAGCTCATTACAATATTTCTCATGGCACACGCGCATTCTTACCTACACCATCCGATTACACTCAGATAAATCATTCTTTTCAGAAGAAACGCACATGTTTATGAGCAAAATGAAGGAGTTTAATCTTCATGGAGAGTCCAAACAAGAGTTTAGATGATGTATTTAAAATTCTCTTGTGAGCTATTGATATTGCAATCACCAACTGTTTGAGGAAATGCTTGAATGAGTTTTTACCAGCTCAGTGGACCATGATGCCCCAAAAGGAAGTAGCCTCAGACCATGGGATCACACTGATCCCACGGATGTACATTCCTAGCTCACGAGCAAAGTTGGTGTCGAATCATTGACTAACTGATTGACCAAAGCTCTCTTGAACCCCAAACTCAGCATGTTACCTACTGATACAATTCTGCTATGGGTTTGAAATGAATGATTTAGATTTTTTTTTGTTGTATTATTGCAGAGATAGACAATGCAAAGGTTAGCAACTAGATTCTCAACGAGTTTACTATCTTCGGTGGGCAATGTTTCATGTTCTTATTTTGTCCCAAAGCAGACGTTCACCACCTCCTCTCTGCGCGTAAATATTCAGAAGCTGCAAGAACGTTCTATTTCAGGTGATTTCTTGAAACGGGCTTGCCTCGGTTTTTGTCGAACATCAAACTTTGCCACTGGATTCAAGCCATTGCAGCCGAAGCCATTGGAGTCGATTATTGACATTGAGAGGGCAAAGAATAAATCACCTGAGGATCTCTCTGCAATTTGGGATGATGTACTTTCTCACAACTTTGCTTGTATCCCTATTCATATTTGAACCACTCCAATTCAATCACTTATGCTCTTGTATGTTATAAGTACATGCTGGTCAAATTATGACAACAAATCGGCAACAAGGTAAAATTTTAATTGACCGTACTTTTTTTTTGATAGGCTTATGCTTTAGGCAGTTGGTTGAAGAAGTTTGATTTCTGACTTTAAAATACCTGGGAGAATTTTTGCTGTTTCATGCCCATGTAATACATATTCTGGAGCATAAGAATGGCATAGTTTGTTTGACAATTGAATAATTATATGGTCCATGTTATCGTGTCCTTTTGGAAGAAGAATTATAGTCTCTTTTTGGGAAATTGTTGATTAATGGCTATAGATTAAACGACGGGAGGGTATTGAGTTCGAAAAAGTCAAAATGCCATGATGACTGCACCACTAAGTATATCCTTATCCCTGGTTTCTACTTTAACCATAGCCGTGAGCTTGGAATTTTAAAATATTTGATTTCTTTGGCTGCTTGATCTTACATATTGAAATATTTTTGCCAATTTTTTTCTATAAAGGATTACAATTATGTTTACAGGCAAGTACTATATCCACTACATTTATCAACTTTTGCTAGATAGGTCTACTATAGAATGAAGTCTGTAGCTAAAACTCCAAACACACTTCCTTAGGTCACGCTTAATAGATCTACTTTGCTTGATTCATATTGATAGTATTTGTGCATCGTGACTGGATGGATTCACTCTATGATGACATTACAATGCTCGACCATGGGTTGTTACACCTTACTTATACATGTTCCTGAGTTCCTCGATTTAGTATTGATAAATTGTTTGCTTCTAAGCTGGATCATCTTATGTCAGTATCACTTGGGAAGAGGGCACATCGCCGCATCAATGAAAGGAAAATTGTATCATCTGCTAGAGCAAAGAGCAGTAAACTGGTAATCCATTTACATGATCTTTCTGTTTTCTATATGTCTTATTTTCTGATTCCTAAATGCTCTTGCTTCTATCTTTTCTTGTAGCCAATACTTTGTCATTCCATTATGGAGAGAAAGTGGTTACATAACGATGTTTACGCAAGGTCTGGTCTGCTCTTGCTTTTTCTCTAAACCGCCCTGTATTTGTTAGAGGTTATTGTTCGTGTCTTGCATGGATGCATTTAACATCACAATACCACATAATCGTAGGCTACCTACACTTTGATTTGATTTTTGCTCTTTAATGGGTGATACTTGGGTGTAAATATCTGGTACTCTTGGATTGTAAGATTTTGCCTGTTCAGTACCTCTTTCCCTCTATGTGTGGGCATGTGATCTTTCCTTCAACCATAGAGTTTTTTTTTTGGGTTTTTTTTTTTTTTTTTTTTTGGGGGGGGGACCTTAACTTTGTTTAGGGAACTGAAGAAGTAAATGAGGCAATTGTGCCTTGTATATGGTAATTATGTTACATTACCAACTCCATTCCTTCCCCTCCTTCCTTTGTTTTTTCTCTTTGTCTAAATCGTAGTGTACTGTATAGATAAATAAGTGCTCAAACGCAACTATATATCTGTCACTCCCCTTCAATGGCATGTTCGTTTTCTTTCTCACATAGAGCGAGTCAGTTAGCTAAATTTAAGTGCAAGTCAATAAGCTAAATCTAAGGTGTTGATTTTTTTCAGAAAACCCTTGTGGCCTATAATTTTTTTGTTTCCTTTAATATGTTTTCCATCCTTATACAGTGCAGATGCCACACATGCTTTTCACTGGTCTTGAAGACTACAAAGCAAGAGGTACTCAAGCTGCTCCCTATTTCACTGTTTCTTACTACACAGAATTTGCAGAAAGCAAGGACTTGGTGCTTATTCGCGGGGATGTTGTGTTGACGAGCAAGCTAAGTGACAATGAGGCCAAATGGCTAGTGGAGACCACACAGTCTTTTTACCTAAATGATGTCAGGTACAAGCTGGTTGAAAGGTTCAACAAAGAAACACGCGAATTTGAATTCAAGGATGTATTGCACGCATTGGGGAATGCCTATTTTGTAGTTTAGAGAAGCATAGAAAATTTGGTCTTAGAACCATAAAAGAGAAGGATTTAATCAGAACGTTGAATTAACAACAGTAGAATTGCACTGCAGGTAATCCTCATTAGAGTTGAATTAACAACGTTATATTCCTTTGTGGTACTTATCTAGTAACGTGATTATATGTTCTTGAGATTATATTTCTGTTAGTCACTTCTATTTCGGATCTGCTTTCTTGAGTCTGGTCTTAAAAGCCTTGTGTTCATTCTCAGCCCTTCAGTTAGGAACTAGCGTTCGACCCTCTACCAAGGGCAAGATCTGAAAGAGAAGATTCACTTTCCGAAATTTCAAGTGACATGATTCATTCAGAAGTTAAAGTTAAATGATCGAAATCTCCTTCAGGATTTTCCTACCCTCAAAGGGGAAAGGTCTGTCCTTGTGTCATATTGCCACATTGCTTGTTTATTGATATTGTTTTTGTGATCTTGCATTGTGCCTGTTATGTATACAAGCTGATACACGACTCGTGTGCAACTGTAATAACTAACAAACCTTGAACCCTGGAAAATCTTGCTTCAAAATGAGCATTTTGGGTGCTCGAAAAGATTTTAAAATTTTTGTCCTCTTTTTTTTTTTAAAAAAAAAAAAATCTCACATTGGACGTTAATTTTATTAAAGAGTGGTTGTAAGCTCATTTTTGTCCCAATTATAATAACAAGAAATTTAGGGTATAAGGGGGTAAAATAAAATTTTAAAAATTTTTAACGACCAAAATGCCAATCTTCGTAAGTTTGTTATATCCGAAAAAATGTTTGCAAAACAATACTCAAATAATAGCAAAATATCATAACGAATTATCAAAGTAATATGTTTTTTGAACTTTTGTTCTGTAATTATTGCAGTTTTAAATTTATTTTTCCCAAACTGTGGGGATTAATAATTTAATTTATTTTTTGTAAAAGGATATTTTTTAAATTTATGAGAATTGCAATAGATTAATAAACAAATTAAAAACAAAAACACATATATAAAAAGATAATTGGAGAAAGTAAAATACTTATAAAAAATATCCTCAAAATAAAAACATATACCTGTGAGTTTATTCCAAGTTTCCTTTGGCAGGATGATATTGATGGGTTGAAAGTGATCATGCGTTTCTTGTTAATAAAAAATAAAAAATAAAAGGGAGAATTACACCTAGATTCTCTAAAGTTTGTTACTTAATCACTCATACTCCCTGATATTTAAAATATTATACATAAACCCCTAAAGTTTGTACGCGTATAACAGTTAGACTTTTTTAAAAATCGTAATTAATATATAATTATATTATCTATTAGAATAAAACTAAAAAACTCAAATAAGAGATCTAAGTCATTCATAATAAAACATAAATTTTATAACCAAAATTCATGTTATATTATGTTATTTATTGAAATAAAATCAAAAATAAAAATCTGAATTTAAAAAAAAAATTATAATTAATATATAATTATACTATATATGAGAATAAAACTAAAAAAATTAAACAAGAGATCAAACTGTAATGAACACAATATATTTTAGCTTTAATCGGGATAGTTTGATATTTTAATTTAGTAGTTTAAACGATCAAATTAAATTCTAATAGATAATTTGTATACTAATTACGATTTTTTAAGAAAAAATTAAATTTTTATTTTTTATTTTATTTCAATAAATGATATAATAGAACATAAATTTTAATTATAAAGATTAAAATATTTGATATTTTATCTTTGATTAAAATATTTTTGGTCTAAGTATAACATTTTAAACTTAAGGGATCTAAGTATTATATACTTACAAATTTCAGAAAGGTTTAAGTGTAATTTATTAACAGATATATTTACGTCAGGTCTAAATTTTAGGAAGTCTGTGTATAATATTTTAATATTAAAGGATCTGAATGATTAAGCGATAAAAGATTTGAATATAATTCTCTCAAAATAAAAAATAAAAACCTATAAAAAACTGAGTATAAGGCCAATCATTTTTCTTCCCTCGTTGGCGTCTCTCTGCTCTGCGGTCAAGCCCGCTCCCACACACAGTCGCACTCACTCACACACTCACACGCTGTCAGCTCCCCCTTCTCTCTCTCTCTCTCTCTCTCTCTCGCTGGTACTCAAATCGGCGAGTCTGTGCTACTTGATGCTTCAAAATTTTGCAATGGCAGAGAGCTCCGACGACGCCAAAGACATCGAGAAGCTCTACGAGTACGACGAAAGGCTCGACGAAGCCAAAGACAAGTCTCAGGTTCTTCCAATTCTCGAAACTATTGCAAACTTGTACGATTTTCCCCCCCTACTGATCTTATTCAAATTGAGTTCACATATTATCTTTTTTTTTTCCCCTCCTTTTTTGAGTAGTACTTGTTTTTTTTCTGTCTGATAATTCATATTTATCTATATATATAATATATGTTACAGAATGTTGAGGACTATGAAAATATAATTGAAGCAGCTAAAGGCACTAGTATAAAGGCAAGGCAATTAGCTGCGCAGCTCATTCCCAGGTTCTTCAAGTTCTTCCCTGGTCTTTCGGTTAATGCAGTCGATGCTCAGCTCGATTTCTGTGAACCTGAAGAGCTTGGGTTAGTATCTATAATTGTAAAAGGTTTGCCATGAATTGATACACACACACACTCGCACATAATTGCATGTTGTTAGAAGGAATTTGTCATCCAAATGAAAAGGGTCATACCCTTTATATATGTATAACTGTAAGTATATGTGTGCGTATCTATATATGTGTGCGCTTGTGAGTACATATATATGTATGTATATATTTACATTCTACAATAGGAATCTGTTGTACAGCTAAAGAGGGGAATGCACAATATACAAAATCTAGCCATTAAAAGGATAGAATGTACTTATAGGACCAGACAATATGGACTGAAAAGTGAGCATATACAATTTACATCTAGTTCATTCTTCATAGCTCCTTATATTATTTGGACAGCTTTTTGTAATGGCCTTTTAGGTGCAATCTTGACCAGAAGTAAAGGCCACCACCCAATGTTGGTTCTGCATAAGAAATAAAGGCCACTTGACCCGTGTTTTCATGCTTCACTACCTGATACTCGTCCTGTCCCTGGGTATAGAATCATATTGATTTCATGTATATTACTGGTGTTCCCATCTTGTCCAAGTTAGCATTTAAGGATTGAAAATGGAAAGATTCACACTGCAAATGTGTACATTTGACAGAAGTGGTGTCATATTTTAAATTACTTATCTGTTTTTCCTCCAATTGATTAGTTCATATAAAATTTGAAATGTTCAGCAATATGAATAGTTTTCTGTCATCTGCCTCTTCCTTTTCTTTCTCTCCCCTTTCACTTATTCTTCACTGAATCCTTTACTCCTTTATTTCTGGCTAACCCCTTTCTTGTTATTATCCTTACTCTTCCATATCTCATACCGGAAGTTTAGCTTGCTATCTTGCTTTAAAATCATATTTTAAACCATTGAAATCCTATAACCTTAATTTTCTGTCTCAAGTCCCTGCTACATTGACTGCTCATTGTTTCTTATCTGTTGCTACTCAAGCCCTCACTTCAACACCTTACTAAAGTGCTGAAATCTCTGTTTGTCCTGCATCGATCTTGTTTTCTTCCCAGGAAAAAACAATGCCCTCATCCGTTTTCCTCATGCCCTCACAATGACTTAACTAGACTGAAATCACGCCTTATAAATTTAAGAATCAATCTCTGTATGGTTTAATCATATGCATTTCACTGATTTGTCTACCTAAAACCATATTCCTATTTCTGACTTTGGGATCAGTCCTTTTGGATCAGGTTAATAAGCATGAATAAATGGTGCCCAGCAACACCTCATCTTTGGAAAAATTGAAAAAAAAAAGAACAAAACAGAATAGAATCGATGACNCCTATTTCTGACTTTGGGATCAGTCCTTTTGGATCAGGTTAGTAAGCATGAATAAATGGTGCCCAGCAACAACCTCATCTTTGGAAAAATTGAAAAAAAAAAGAACAAAACAGAATAGAATCGATGACAAGATGGACTTTTTGACTACAGCTTCCCATCACGTTCCTTCATTTTCGTGTTTCTCTTTCTTCTTAAAAATTATTTTTGTATGCCATTCATCTAGTTACCAAATTGGAAAAGACAGTTTTTGGTTTACATATGTTTTAATGCCCCCCTATGATCTTGATTATGACTGAATGACAGTATGCATGGTCGATGGCACTGTTCATCTTAATGAAACAATTTGGCTTGGTTAAGCCAATTCACATCTTGCACTTAGTCGCTACATATACTGGATGTGGTTATGGTCTTTATTATAATTCATATATTTCCATAGATTTTGAAATTTTCTTTTTTATCATCAAATTTCAGGTCTGGGTGCAAGCAATTCATGGACTTCCTCTTTTCTGCAAGGATACACCAGAGCATCTTTTGAAAATTGTAGACATTCTGTTGCAACTCCTTACAGCTGGTAAATTAAATGTTTCAAATTCAAATTCCGCTGGTGAAGGATATGTAACATATACATATTATGATATAAAATTGATTTTTGGATCCTTGATGCTTCTAGAAGAAAATGTGGAGCGTGATGCAGTGCATAAATCCCTTTTATCCTTATTAAGGCAGGATGTGAAAGGTAATGGCATTTATCATTAAATTATGAAGAAGCATCTATGCATAAGTAGTTAAAGCATGAACATCTGGTCTGACATGAAGTGATAAAGCACTGACATTTACCTCAGCATTTAGTATTCGTTACATGTACTGATTTTCACTGCTAAGCCTCATGCACCGAGATATTTTGGATCTGCCATTTCTGCATGTTGTAAAAATGATGGATACTGAATTTTACTGCATGAGACTTGTGAGGAATTTTCCCGTTGCTTATTGAAATAGGGGTAAATTTTTGGCATGCTTTTCCTCCTCTCCCCCCCCCCTCTCTCTCTCTCTCTCTCTCTCGTCTGTTTGTTTGATGCATTGCTTCTTGTTTTNCTTACAGAAATTTTTGGCATGCTTTTCCTCCTCTCCCCCCCGCCCTCTCTCTCTCTCTCTCTCTCTCTCGTCTGTTTGTTTGATGCATTGCTTCTTGTTTTAGCTTTGGCTTTGCACTGTCTTTTTGATATACAATTAATTAATGGCCTTGCTCATGCAGCTTCTTTGACAGCCCTATTTAAGCACATTGAGAGTGTTGATGAGCCCATCACGGATGAAAATCTTCGAGAGAGGACTCTAATCTTTATCTGGGATAAGTTTGGAGGACCAGCTCATGTGATGTGACGGCCATGTCAATTATTATTGTGTTGTCCTAATCCTAAATATGTATGAGGACTAAGTTGCAGTATTGGCAGGTGTTTCCTCTCAAAGCTGAGCTCTTGAAGCCTCGGGAGCAAATGGAAAGGCATATAACTGATCTAATAAAAAAAGTACGCACGCTTGTTTTTTCCATTCCACTTGTCTTTTTTGTTCTTTTTCCCTTTTTATTTTGGTTCTTTTGGGTTTCAGGGATGGGCATCTATATATTTTGTTGTTTTACCTGGTGCTTTCTACTCAATTCCACTCCATTTGGTTAATTATCTCTTTTTGTTGGATGAATGCTTGTANAGGGATGGGCATCTATATATTTTGTTGTTTTACCTGGTGCTTTCTACTCAATTCCACTCCATTTGGTTAATTATCTCTTTTTGTTGGATGAATGCTTGTAAAATAGAAGAAAATGAAGAAAAATCACATTTTTAAATTAGATATTGTTATTCTATTTGAGGATGCAAGAATTTTTGTTGAGTGCTATTGCAGAGTTTACAAGATGTGATGGGGGCTGAATTTAAAATGTTTATGGATTTCCAAGAAAGCTGCTCCAGAGCGTGTGCAAGAACTTATTGAAATCATTGAAGGTCAAGCTGATTTAGATGCACAGTTTAATGTGAGTACTTGGTACATGGTTTTAAAATTTAGGAATATGGTTATACTCTCTCTCTCTCTCTCTCTCTTTCTCTCATGCGGAAGAAGTAAAAACTGGATTAACTGTTTGAAGCAGTACACATCATAAGGACTGTTGCAAATTTAGCAAGGGACTTTTTATTTTTACTTGTATATATTTCTGTTTTTGCATTTGGTTAGGAAGAGTGAACGAATGGCCCCTTTAAATTTTTGGGGAGCCCATTGCATATTCTAGACCCCCCCCGGGTCCCTCACTGAATATAGAGATAGGTAGTTTCTCTAAAGTCAGGATTGATTTTAGATTGAATGTAACGATGCAGAATGGCCTACGGTAGTTACTGTTGTTCCACCCACAATTGATTTTGTGTAGGCTTTGGCCTTTGAAAGCTTCTAGGGTTAGGTATATACAAGGTAAGAAAGGTTCTAGGGCCATAGAGAATATTGTTAAGGGGCACACTTCGATCTTTTATTTTTCCTAATTCGAGGACACATTCCGAGTTTCATTATCCATCTCATACCATGTCATTCTTAGTTCTCTAGTATAGATTATATTCCCCCGTGTTATAATTTTAACCCTGAATTTGCGGCGGAATGTATTGATTGCTGTAAACTATATTATGCACATGCATTCCTATTTTTTGTAGATGCTTACCCCTAGCTCCCTTTACGGTCCCTTTTCCCTTTGAACATGGGCTCCTTCTACGGTCGGACTGCAGTTATATAGACCTTTAAGTTGTATGTTCACTGCCAATCATGAAATTACTTCTGTCTCAAGCTAAAATAAAAAATTGATCTCTGATGTATTCTTCTTCGTTTTGTTTTGTTGGAGTATAGTCTAGTTTATTAGGATTTCTTTTTTTTTTTATCCTTACTATGACTTTTATATTTTGCTTAAACTACAAGGATGTTTATGTCACTTTGTATTATTATTATTTGGCTATATATATGGGGTTCTATTCTTAGTTTATGTATCCCTTTTCACTCACATCTATTTCAAGTTGGTATCAGAGCTAAACTCAAACCTTAGCTCTAACCTCCATCGTAGACTCCACCATACTTTCAGCCGCAACTCCAAACAGCACCCAGCAAGCAACGACCTAGACTGCCAGCAAACTGCCCAGGCCAGCACCAAACGAAACCACCTAGTTCAACCATTGACTACCCTCACCGACTACTCAGACCAGTCGACAAACAACCTCAAAACCCATCTTATACAGGGTTATAAGAGTAACGAAAACTTCTATAATGTTCAATAAACCCAATAAATTGAACCCAAACCCAGACTAGCCACCGACCATTGCTGGGTCACTGTTCAGTCTATTGTTGGGTCGCGTTTTTTGGTTGTGGCTTCATTCTTCGCATTCTTTGTCACAGTGCTGCCCAGGTTGCAGTATTTTAGACCTTTTTTAAGAGGGGTTGAATCCTCTTCTCTGTTGATCTACTCTTGATGCAGTAAATTATTTATTTATATTTACTGGATTTTTGGGCACTGTGACCTGATTATTTGGGAGCTTTTTGGACTTTCTTTATCTGTCGCAACTGTTCGAATGAAGGTATATTGTTCTCACTTATTTTATTCCTCTATTTATATTAGAGTTGTTTTTCTGGTGCCCTAGTATTGTTATTGATATGCCTACTACTGAGGGAGTTGAGAGCCCTACCGTTAAGACATCTATTAGTACTTCTATCGGGTATAGGGGTCGACAGCGCTCGGCGCAGCGCCAGGGTACCCCACATCAGCGTAGACATGAGAATTTTCGTCAGTGTGATTATTGTAGCCGACTAGGACATCTCAGGGTTACTTGTTGGAAGCTCCATCCAAAGCTTAAGCCACCTCCTCACAGTCGTACTGCTGCCATTACTGAGGCACCACCACCTATAGTTATTGCTCCTGCTACTACTATTACTGCTCCTTCTTGACAGAGTGATATGAATGCTATCACTTCTCGATTGGATATACTTATGTCAGCCCTGACTTCTCAAAGTTCGACTACTACTGCTACGACTATTACAGGTATACCTTGTGCTTTTCATACTTGCGTCAATTCGTCTCTCCTTTGGATGCTGGACTCGGGTGCGAATGGTCATATGACAAGTGAGGCCCATCATTTTACCTCTTTTGACGAGCAGTTACAAACTCAAGTTCAATTAGCAAATGATACACATGCCCCTATTGTTAGTAGGGGTGCAGTCCGCCTTTCAGATGACTTTACATTACGTTTGGTGTTTCATGCGCCAAAGTTGTCCATGAATCTATTATCTTTACATTAGTTAGCCAGAGATTTTCACTGTGCAGTTGTGTTCTTATCTGATTCGTGTTATTTGCAGGACTTGAGTACTAGAAAGATTATTATCAGGGGACATGAGAGAGATGAATTATATTATCTAGGCAATTCATCTCCGGTTTCACCAGTTTCTCCACCTCCACTTTCATCACTTGCTTTGTCTGTATCTGTTCCTAGCTTGCATGCTAGTATTTTACCTAATACTTATCGTTATGATTTTTCATCACAAACTGTTCAATTATGGTATGACCGTTTTGGGCATACAAATTTTAAAAATTTATGTATTTTATTTTCTGCTTCGAGCAAAACTTGTGTTAGTGGTAAACTTGACTGTGTTATATATTCTCTATCAAAACATGTTCGGACCAGTTATATTCCTCGCATGCACCAGTCACCCAAACCATTTGACCTAATACACTCTGATATTTGGGAACTATCTCCTGTTACTGTTTTGTCAGATGCTTGATATTATGTAAAATTTATAGATGACCATATCTGTTGTATTTGGGTCTACCTTTTGTATAGGAAGTCGGATGTACTCCCTGTCATCACTTAATTTGTCCAGATGATTAAGACACAATTCGATGTCATTGTTCATGCTCTTCGTTCGGATAATGCTAAAGAATATGTGTCTGATGCCTTAGTGTCTCACTTTTCTTTTCAGGGTATCATTCAGCAGTTCACTTGTCCATATACTTTTGAGCAAAATGGAGTTACTAAAAGGAAAAATAGGAGTCTGATAGGGATGGTACGTTGTATGCTTAGAGGTATGGGGGTACCAAAATTTTATTGGCATTTTGCTGTTTTGACTTCTATCTTTTTGTGTAATCGTACACCGAGTCATGTTCTTCAGCATAGGGCTCCCTTATAGGTCTTATTCCCTGAGCGGACATTTTTTCTTGTCCCCCCTCATGTTTTTGGTTGCACATATTTTGTTCAGGATAAGTCTCTTACTCGTCATAAGCTTGATGATAAAGCGATTTGTTGTGTCTTTGTGGACTATTGTCATCAGTCTAAAGGGTATCGGTGTTATGATCCTGTTAGGCGTCGTATGTATCACAGTTTAGATGTTACCTTCCTTGAACATATTCCTTATTTTTCTTCCAGTCCTGTGTCTGCCTCTCCAGTTGATGATACTCCATTTGATTTTTCGTTATCATAGGAGCCAGAACTATTGGTCACTATCACTACAGAGTCATCAGTCTTTCCTCCTCTAGAACCACTCCTCCTTGCTGGTATAAAGTCACCAGTCTCTCTTCTTTTGTAGGTTTATGTTCGTCGCTCTCGCTCTCATCCCTCTGCTAATGTCCCCTCTAACTCAGGCGATTCAAGTAATACTTCTCAGTTCGTTGAGCATATTGATCCACCTGTTATTAGTACTAATGAGATTGCAGGTACTGAGTCAATTATTTTACCTGATGAGACATTGTCAGCGGAGGATGATAATTTAAAACATCGTTATCCGCAGCGTGATCGCCGTCCAGTTGTTCGTTATGGTTGGACTGCCAGGACTTTATATTCGATCTCTGCCTATGTTTCTTATGATGATCTATCTCCTACATTTTGAGTTTATAGTATGACCTTATCAGATACACCAGTTCCTTGCATTGTTTCAGAGGTTATTCGGGAGCCCTAGTGGGTTATTGCCATGCAGACGGAGATGGACGCTTTTCAGCGTAATCATACGTGGGATCTTGTCTCTTTATCTGTAGGGGTGAAGCCTGTTGGTTGTCACTGGATTTACATCCTGAAGTTTTTTGCTGATGGTACTATTGATCGTCACAAGACTAGGCTTGTGGCGAAGGACTTTCCTCAGGTACCAGGTCGTGATTTTGGTGCTACCTTTGCCCTCGTGACAAAATTGATTACTGTTCGATTGATTATTTCTCTAGTTGCGGAGTACTCTTGACCTTTTCATTAGTTGGATGTGAAGAATACATTTCTTCATGGTAATCTGGACAAGATTATTTATATGGATGCACCACTGGGCTTTCGTGATGAGGGGGAGTATGTTGAAAAGGTATGTCGACTGCGTAAGTCTTTATATGGACTGAAAACAGTTACCACAAGCCTAGTTCTCTCACTTTAGTGGTGTAGTTGTACGTTTAGGGTTCACCAGATGTCATTCTGATCATACCTGCTTCATTCGACGGAATACTTCTTGACAGTATGTCGTCTTTTTGGTATATGTTGATG